GCGCAGGCAGGGCAGGCGCGGCAGGCAGGCAGGCAGGCAGGCAGGCAGGCACGCAGATGGCGCGGCAGCGCGCGAACAAGGCAGGTGCTCACCAGTGGTGGGAAGGGTAGGCGCTCGCCGGGCGAGTAGGGCCGGCGCTCGGCGGCGGCAGGGTAGACGCACGACGGCAGTGACGGCGGGGCCGCAACAACGGCTGCAGAGTAGGGCCAGGGGCGGCTGCTGCAGTGGCGGCTGCCCCAGGGGCCAGGGGCGGCTGCTGCAGGGGCGGCTGCTCCAGGGGCCAGGGGCGGCTGGTGTAGGGACGGCTGCTCGAAGGCAGGCGCGAGGTGAGGTAGGGGCGGCTGCACCGAGGGCAGGCGCGGCGGCTGCACGGGGTCCAGGGGCGGCGTCGCGAGTCCAGGTGCGGCTGCACGGAGTCCAGGGGCGGCTGCACCAGGGGCGGCTGCTTCAGGGGCCAGGGGCGGCAGCTCTGGGTCCAGGGGCGGCTGCTCGAGGGTCCAGGGGCGGCTGCACCAGGGGCGGCTGCTTTAGGAGCCAGGGGCGGCTGTTCTGGGTCCAGGGGCGGCTGCTCGAGGGTCCAGGGGCGGCTGCACCAGGGGCGGCTGCTTCAGGGGCCGGGGGCGGCTGCTCTGGGTCCAGGGGCAGCTGCTCGAGGGTCCAGGGGCGGCTGCACCAGGGGCGGCTGCTGCAGGGGCCAGGGGCGGCTGCACCAGGGGCGGCTGCTTCAGGGGCCAGGGGCGGCTGCTTTGGGTCCAGGGGCGGCTGCTCCAGGGGCGGCTGCTTCAGGGGCCAGGGGCGGCTGCTCTGGGTCCAGGGGCGGCTGCTCCAGGGGCGGCGTAGCTGGTCCAGGGCAGTGCGCGGCAGCAGCACTGCAGCAGCAGTTCAGGCGCAGCAGCGAAGCAGCAGCGTGAGTGCAGCAGTAACACGGGCCGCGTGCGGGCCAGGCATGGGCTGTAAGGGCTGCGTGCGGGCCTGGCGCGGGCTGTATGAGCTGCGTGCGGGCCTGGCGCGGGCTGTACGGGCTGCGTGCGGGCCTGACATGGGCTGTACGGGCTGCGCGACGGCCTGGCGCGGGCTGTACGGGCTTCGTGACGGGCCTACGCGGGCTGTACGGGCTTCGCGACGGGCCTACGCGGGCTGTACTGGCTGCGCGCGGGCCTGGCGTGGGCTGTACGGGCTGCGCGACGGCTTGGCGCGGGCTGTACGAGCTGTGCTCGGGCCTACGCGGATTGTACGGGCTGCGCACGGCAGAAAGGGCAGGGCAGCGCGAAACGCTGGGCAGGGCAGGAACTAACGGTCGGGCAGGTGAAAACGAATGTGGTGGGCCCTTAATTACGGTCCTAGGCTAGGACCGTCCTAGCTCTTAATACCATGTTAGAATACTAGGAAGGAATGTGTGATTAGGTCAAGGGGGGGGTACAAGAAGAATGTCGAGAGAAAAGTTGTACCCCCTAGTGCTAACCCCCATACAGCCTAGATAACCTAAACATGCATATATGATTTGACAGCATGCTCTTTCTCCCCCCACGTAAAAACGACCCCCTTCCGCAGTAAATCCGTCAGTGGGGCGGTTAAACGTGCCATGTCGGGGACGAACCGACGCACATAATTAACGAACCCTAAAAAACTCTGCAGCTCCGTGATGTTCGTCGGGGGGTGCCATGCTTTTACCGTGTCCAGCTTCTTTGGGTCGATCTCAACTCCAGCCTCCGAAATAACATGGCCCAAAAATTCTAACCTATCCTGGAAGAACTCGCACTTGGAACCCTTGGTCAGTAGTCTGTGCTCGTCTAAAACTTTAAACACTGCTTCCATATCTGCTAAGTGCTGCTGCTTATCGCGACTGTAGACTAGGATGTCGTCGAGGTAAACTATCACGCATTTATCTAAGAGTGGTCTAAACGCCTCGTTCATGGTCATCTGAAATGTCGCCGGTGCGTTGGTCAGCCCGAATGGCATCACGGTGTACTCGAATGACCCATACCTAGTTCTAAATGCCGTTTTTACGCAGTCCGATGGTTCGACCCGAATCTGGTGGTAACCTCCGCGTAAGTCAATTTTCGAAAAGACCCGTGCTGTTCGTAGTTGATCTATCAGTTCGTCGGCTCGGGGAATGGGGTATCGCGACTTGACTGTTACCCTGTTCAGTGCTCTGTAGTCGATACACATGCGAAAACCCCCGTCTTTTTTCGGTGTGAACAGTATCGGTGCGGCGAACGGTGACGAGCTCGGTCGGATGATTTTTTTCTCTAACAGGTAATCTAACTACTTCCTCAGTTCATCGAGCTCTGGCTGTGTCAGTCGGAATTGCCGCTGTATAGTTGGCTGTGCCCCTGGTTCTAACTCTATTCGGTGGTCATGTGCTCGCTGAGGTGGCAGTCCCTCTGGTAAATCGTCCGGAAAATCCCCGGGTACCGTTTCAACAGTTCCTGTAGTTTGGGCGGTACCGCTGCCAACAGTTTCTGAAAATCGCTCGGTTGCTCTGCTTCTCCTACCAATGCTATATCCACTGCGTACACGTCAGCTCCAGCGGCGACAGCCCGTTTCATCGTGATGGCGTTGACGTGGACCGTTGAAGACTCGGGCGACTGCCAGCGAGGTAGCACGACCCAGTTACCGCTGCTTCGCACAGTGCAGCTACCCGTCGTCCAGTCGATTCGCGGATTATACCGTCGCAGCCAGTCACGTCCCAGTAAAATGTCGTGCCCATCCAGTGTCGTCGCGAGCATTTCCTGTGTAAACCCAAAGTCCCCCCCGCAGCGGACTTTTATTCTTTCCACCTTCTCCCGTCTGGCCAGCGGCGTGCCGTCGACTAAGCGAACATCTATCTCCGGTAAACACCGACTAAGTGTCAGCTGCAGCTTCCGTGCGGTTGCGGTATTAACTAAGCTGTGACTTGCTCCTCCGTCGATAAAAATCTTCACTGCTGCTCCCTGTATTTTCTCGTGAATCAGTACTAGGCAATCCGTCGCTGTACCCTCCTTATTCATCCGAGCCCGATCGATAGCGTAAATCGGTACTGTGACTCGGTGAGGGTTGGTGAGGTTGGGCGAGCAGGCAGTCTCGTCAGTAGTTGGCCCAATTTCTACTGAGTGCTGGCGTTTCCCTGCCTCTGAGACTCCCTCCCCTGCTCTGCTCCGCGGCGCCTTAGCTCCTATGGTCACTCGCTTTTGCGATGGCCCGGCCTGTTGCAAGCAAAGCAGCGCCCCTTAAACGGCGCGGCAGCTGCATTCGTCGCAACGGCGTGTACGGTGGCGTGCTCGATCGGTCCCCGAGGGCGATGTCCGTGATAGGACCCCGGTCTGAGACGGCGCAAAATGTAGATTTTCTCGGCGAGCGCGAGGATCTCGTTAAAATTCGAGAGCCCGCGCAGCATGATTTCGTGCGAGATGTCCGGCTTCAGCCCTCCGACGTAACGGTCCACCCGCTCCGCTTCGTGCATGTAGCCGACTTGCTCGCATAATGCGAGAAAACCGCTCGTGTAGTCTTGAACTGATCCGAGCTGCCGCCAAGTACGCAGTTTCTGACGCGCCGAAATAGAAGCCGCGATCGGCTCGAAGCGCGCCCGAAGCCCTGCGCACCACGCATCCCACGTGCTGTATTGGGCTGTTTCGCAGAATGAACTCCAGGTGACGGCTGGACCCGTGGGCCCTTCCTCTTGCGACGGTGGCTCGTAGGCGCGTGGCGACGTCACGATGACTCGCCACCAGTCCATGGCGGGGCCCCTCAGCAGCGAAACAGCGTAGCGAATCTTCGCTGCGTCCGACTCGACGTAATTCGCGTCGAAGAAAACGTTCATCGTGAAGACCCACGATTGAACCGTCGGACCTCCACGTTGGCTCGGATCGAAACAGGGCGGGCGCTGCGACTTGAGTGGCATTGGTGCCATGATGTCGTGGCTGCCACTTGTTGCTGCAAACTCCACGTGCCGACGAGCTTCGCGAGGCCCACGCGGGCTTGGTGCGGCCCTATTTGTCTCCATGCCAGGCATCGATTGAGCGGCGCCATCACTGGCTGCGCCTGAGCGCTGTCCCACGCTGTCGTTTTGCGTCGGTGTGCCTGATGAGATGACGATCGGTTCTTCTGATTGCGCAGGTGCATTTGCGGGTGCTTGTGATGGTGCTGGCGCATTCACTGTTGATTGCTGGCGGGCGGAGTCACGTTCCGCCGTGAGTGTCGCGATTTCGAGCGCCGAGTCTTCGAGTTGGCGCACGAGACGGTCGAGTTGCTCCTGCGTTAATGTCGCAAGAGTAATTTCGGCCATGGCGGGGGTGTCGGGCAAGCTCAGCGAGAGCCTCTGTCGTGGCCGTGCGTGCTTACGAGAGAGCACTTCGAGCGGCGGTGCTTGTTCGCTGAGAGACGTCTACCCCCCCCCAAAAAATTGAGATAATGGGGAAGCGAAGGTGTGGCGCGGTCCGAGAGGAGATCGTAGGCTCTAAATACCAAGTGTTACGAGTGCAATTGAGTGAGCGAGCGAGAATTGCACTATCGAAGCAAAACAATACAGTTGAGCGAAAAGCATAAGCGAACTTATATAGCGAGGCTAGCGTGGTAACGGTAATGCGGGAAATTGGGGTGCGCTACGGGCCTAGCGCCGAGGTTTGGGAATTGTCGAGGCGGAGGTCCGGAGCGCGGGTTACCAACCGAACCGTGAGGTTGGGTCGCATCGTGAACAGTGGCGGGAGTCGTGGTCGAGGCGAATGTCGCGAGCGGGTAACGTTCACGGATGGGTGCCGATGGCGGGAACAGGCATGTACGCGGTAAGCAGGGACGCGAAGTAAGGAAAAATGGATTTTCCTTACAGATTGTAATTTCCTAATCTCACATTTGATAAAATGATAAACATTTTCTAAGATGCATTGAGTTGTATTCACGCCCGAAACCCTATACCGCCTGCTCCGTCGAGCTTACCCCTGCATTTCCGGGGCACCAGTTGTTAGTTTGCATTCAGCTACAATATTCGCTATAACGAGTATTCTGATTCTATACCGATTACGAGCATGGGCAAACCCGACGAGTCGTCATCTTCGCAACACGACGAACGCACCTTTGATGCCGCAATACCCGGCGGAAGTGGCGCCGAGCCCTCCTCATCGGTGCCACGTGGCACCGACGAGGATCCGGGAAAAGAGGAAGACGATGGGTGGGTCTACGATTCGAACGAGGAGGAGGACGATATGATACTGATCCGTGGTGCTGACGTCAGCGGCCACGGAGCCGCACCGGATCTGCCGGAGGGCATGGAGGCGCTGATGCGCGCCGCGGAGGAGGGCGACTCGGACGCTCTGAGGGACGCGATTCGTACGTCCGGGACTTGGCGTGATCGGGAGGAGGGGGCCCGAAGGGGAAGGAGAGGGGAAGGGAGAGGTGGGGGGTAGGGGAGAGGTAGGAGGAAGGTGGGGGGAACTGGGAAAGGGTACGTGAGAGGGGAGGAGGGAAGGAAGGTGGGAGAGGGGGGCGTTGACACGCCCTATTATGGGCTGTGAGAGATTTAGGAGAAATTGCAAAATGTCTGACACGCCCTAGTACTATGGATTGCCAATGAGCACCATGGCGCCTCCCTTACTGCCGCCCTCTCTCTCTCCCATAACCCCTCTACCCTAACCCTCTCCCCCTTCCCCCCTTCCGCCATCAGAGGGCGAGTCAGTGCCGCTGGACTCGCCAGGCGAGGATGGCAACACTGCCTCGCCATGGCCCTCCCAGTGGCGCTTTTCCGCCTTCCCCGTCCCCCCTCTTCCTTCCCCCTCTTCCCCGCCCTTCTCCCCCCTTCAGAGGGCGTGTCATTGCCGCTGGACTCGCCAGGCGAGGATGGCAACACGGCGCAACAGGGCACCATGGCTCCCCCGCTGCCACCCAGCCCCCCTCCCCCTTCCCCTCTTCCCCCGGCCCCCATCAGAGGGCGTGTCAGTGGCGCTGGACTCGCCAGGCGAGGATGGCAACACGGCGCTGCACCTGGCATGCCTGTACGGGCACACGGCTTGTGTCGAGGTGGGCTCAGTACACATGCACGCGTGCTCGCGTACTTGCACTGCACGCCTGCACATCTGAGAACTCGCACAGAATTTCTCTCCACCACCACATTGAAGTACTTTGAGCTTTTGAGGCACCTGAATGCTTTTTTCACTCACCCCCCACTCACCCCCCACTCAACCCCCACTCAACCCCCAATCACCCCCCACTGATCCCCACTCATCCCCCACTCATCCCCCACTCACCCTCCACGCATCGTCAACAATCACGCTCTACTTCACCTGCCATCGAGTCAAACCACCCACTCAATCGCTCTTTCCTGTTGCTCTCTTCGTTGCCCTCTCTCTCGCCCTACCAGCTGTTGCTTGCTTCCGGAGCTGCGATCGAGGCTCGGGACGAGGATGGGGCCATTCCTCTCCATGACGCTTGTGCTGGAGGTGCGTGCGTGGGTGGGTTGGTGGATGGAAGGGTGGGTGGATGGAAGGGTGGGTGGATGGGTGGATGGAAGGGTGGGTGGGTTGGTGGATGGAAGGGTGGGTGGATGGAAGGGTGGGTGGATGGAAGGGTGGAAGGGTGGGTGGATGGGGGGATGAAAGGGTGGGTGGATGGAAGGGTGGGTGGATGGGTGGATGGAAGGGTGGGTGGATGGGTGGATGGAAGGGTGGGTGGATGGAAGGGTGGGTGGATGGGTGGATGGAAGGGTGGGTGGATGGGTGGATGGAAGGGTGGGTGGATGGAAGGGTGGGTGGATGGGTGGATGGAAGGGTGGGTGGATGGGTGGATGGAAGGGTGGGTGGATGGGTGGATGGAAGGGTGGGTGGATGGGTGGATGGAAGGGTGGGTGGATGGGTGGATGGAAGGGTGGGTGGATGGGTGGATGGAAGGGTGGGTGGATGGTGGATGGAAGGGTGGGTGGATGGGTGGATGGAAGGGTGGGTGGATGGGTGGATGGAAGGGTGGGTGGATGGGTGGATGGAAGGGTGGGTGGATGGGTGGATGGAAGGGTGGGTGGATGGGTGGATGGAAGGGTGGGTGGATGGGTGGATGGAAGGGTGGGTGGATGGGTGGATGGAAGGGTGGGTGGATGGGTGGATGGAAGGGTGGGTGGATGGGTGGATGGAAGGGTGGGTGGATGGAAGGGTGGGTGGATGGGTGGATGGAAGGGTGGGTGGATGGGTGGATGGAAGGGTGGGTGGATGGGTGGATGGAAGGGTGGGTGGATGGGTGGATGGAAGGGTGGGTGGATGGGTGGATGGAAGGGTGGGTGGATGGGTGGATGGAAGGGTGGGTGGATGGGTGGATGGAAGGGTGGGTGGATGGAAGGGTGGGTGGATGGGTGGATGGAAGGGTGGGTGGATGGGTGGATGGAAGGGTGGGTGGATGGGTGGATGGAAGGGTGGGTGGATGGGTGGATGGAAGGGTGGGTGGATGGGTGGATGGAAGGGTGGGTGGATGGAAGGGTGGGTGGATGGGTGGATGGAAGGGTGGGTGGATGGGTGGATGGAAGGGTGGGTGGATGGGTGGATGGAAGGGTGGGTGGATGGGTGGATGGAAGGGTGGGTGGATGGGTGGATGGAAGGGTGGGTGGATGGAAGGGTGGGTGGATGGGTGGATGGAAGGGTGGGTGGATGGGTGGATGGAAGGGTGGGTGGATGGAAGGGTGGGTGGATGGGTGGATGGAAGGGTGGGTGGATGGGTGGATGGAAGGGTGGGTGGATGGGTGGATGGAAGGGTGGGTAGATGGGTGGATGGAAGGGTGGGTGGATGGAAGGGTGGGTGGATGGGTGGATGGAAGGGTGGGTGGATGGGTGGATGGAAGGGTGGGTGGATGGAAGGGTGGGTGGATGGGTGGATGGAAGGGTGGGTGGATGGAAGGGTGGGTGGATGGGTGGATGGAAGGGTGGGTGGATGGGTGGATGGAAGGGTGGGTGGATGGGTGGATGGAAGGGTGGGTGGATGGGTGGATGGAAGGGTGGGTGGATGGAAGGGTGGGTGGATGGGTGGATGGAAGGGTGGGTGGATGGGTGGATGGAAGGGTGGGTGGATGGGTGGATGGAAGGGTGGGTGGATGGAAGGGTGGGTGGATGGGTGGATGGAAGGGTGGGTGGATGGGTGGATGGAAGGGTGGGTGGATGGGTGGATGGAAGGGTGGGTGGATGGGTGGATGGAAGGGTGGGTGGATGGGTGGATGGAAGGGTGGGTGGATGGAAGGGTGGGTGGATGGGTGGATGGAAGGGTGGGTGGATGGGTGGATGGAAGGGTGGGTGGATGGGTGCGTGGGCGAACAAATGGCTGGGCGGGACGGTTCGTGGGCGCGTGGGTGTGTGGGTGGGTGGGTTGGTGGACGGGTGTGGGAGGCAGGGTTAAAAGAACTCTTTTCTTTGTGCACGTGCACGGGAATTCTTTGTTCGAGGGTTCTCAAAAGCGAGCCCAAATGCCACACGTCCCCCCCACTCGCTCGAAGCTTCCGTCCCCTCGCACGTGGTGGGCATGCTGCTGCCACACTTGCCACACACACACTTCCATCCCCGTCCGCCCCGCCCGCCGCGCTTACACCCTACTTCCGCTCCCCCCACCAGGCTTCTCGCACGTGGTGGGCAAAGGGCATGCTCATGCCGCTGCTGCCACACACGCCCTGACCTCATTCCTGCCCCCCTTACCCTCTTCTCCCACTCCCCTTCTGCTCCCCCCACCAGGCTTCTCGCACGTGGTGGGCAAAGGGCATGCTCATGCTGCTGATGCTACACACGCCCTGCCTTGCTTGCCCCTCCCTTCCGCTCCCCCCACCAGGCTTCTCACACGTGGTGGGCACTGGGCATGCTCATGCTGCTGCTGCTACACACGCACCCTGACCTCAATTCTCCCCTGCATCCCCATCCACTCCCCTTCTGCTCCCCCCGCTAGGCTTCTTGCACGTGGTGGGCAAAGGGCATGCTCATGCTGCTGCTGCTACACACGCACCCTGACCTCACCTCTCCCCTGCATCCCCATCCGCGCCCCACTTACACTCCCCTTCTACTCCCCCCACTAGGCTTCTCGAATTTGGTGGGCAAAGGGCATGCTCATGCTGCTGCTGCTGCTGCTGCTGCTGCCACACACGCGCCCTGACCTCATCCCTGCCCCGCGTACCCTCTTCCCCCACTCCCCTTCCGCTCCCCCCACCAGGCTTCTTGAATGTGATCGGCATGCTTTTGGCGGCAGCGAGTGATGCAGAGCAGCGGCGGCGCATGATAGGCGCACAGGACAGTGATGGGGACACGGTGAGTTGTGTTGGCGTGGGAGAGGGAGAGGAGGGGTGAGAGGAGGAGGGGAAGGGTGTGATTCGATGCGCATGTAGGGTCAGAGGACAGTGATGGAGACACCTTGAGCGGTGGTGTGGTGTGGGGTGGGGAGGGAGGGGAGGGGAGGGGAGGGGCAGGAGGGTTGGGAGGGTGGGGTTGGGGAAGAGGTGAGTGATGCGAAGCAGCGGGAGGCGCATGATAGGCGCGCAAAACAGCGATGGGGACACGGTGAGCGGTTGGGCGGGAAGAGGAGGGCAGAAGGGGTGGGGTGGAAGAAGAGGCGTGTGATGTGATGCGGAGCTGTCAGTAGCAGACAGGTGGGCTGCGGAGGTCTTACTTCCATCAACTCGTGTGGTTATTAAATCGACGAGACAAACTTCAGAAGGGGTGGGGTGGAAGAAGAGGTGTGTGATGTGATGCGGAGCAGCGGAGGAGCATGATAGGCGCACAGCACAGGACAGCGATGGGGATACGGTGAGCAGAGGTTTGGTGAAGGTGCAGGGGCGAGGAGCGGAGGGGTATGACTGGAGAGGCGCATGGTGGGGGCACAGGACAGTGACGGGGACACGGTGAGCAGTGGGGTGTGATAGGTGGGGTGTGAGAGGTGGGGTGTGAGAGGTGGGGTGTGAGAGGTGGGGTGTGAGAGGTGGGGTGTGAGAGGTGGGGTGTGATAGGTGGGGTGTGAGAGGTGGGGTGTGAGAGGTGGGGTGTGAGAGGTGGGGTGTGAGAGGTGGGGTGTGAGAGGTGGGGTGTGAGTAGAGGTGGGGTGTGAGAGGTGGGGTGTGAGAGGTGGGGTGTGAGAGGTGGGGTGTGAGAGGTGGGGTGTGAGAGGTGGGGTGTGAGAGGTGGGGTGTGAGAGGTGGGGTGTGAGAGGTGGGGTGTGAGAGGTGGGGTGTGAGAGGTGGGGTGTGAGAGGTGGGGTGTGAGAGGTGGGGTGTGAGAGGTGGGGTGTGAGAGGTGGGGTGTGAGTGGTGGGGTGTGAGAGGTGGGGTGTGAGAGGTGGGGTGTGAGAGGTGGGGTGTGAGAGGTGGGGTGTGAGAGGTGGGGTGTGAGAGGTGGGGTGTGAGAGGTGGGGTGTGAGAGGTGGGGTGTGAGAGGTGGGCTGTGAGAGGTGGGGTGTGAGGGGTGGGCTGTGAGAGGTGGGGTGTGAGAGGTGGGCTGTCGCGTCGACGAAATTGACCGCCTTACAATGCCCCGTTTCCCCCTCTCCCCCCCAACCCTCCAACGACCATCAGCCGCTGCACAATGCAGCAAGGGGCGAGCACCCCTCAGTCTGTCGTCTGCTGCTGGATGCCGGAGCCAACCCTGCCGCCCCCAACCATGCCGCCCAGGTGTGTGCCCTGCCGCCCCCAACCATGCAACTCGCGTGTGTCCCATTTCTCCTGCACTAATCTTTCTGCCGTCCGTGGCGCTACTCGGTCTATTTTCAGGCGCCTCAAGAAAAGTAGATCCCAATGTCATCCGTGCTGCTACCAGGTGTTTTTCGAGACTTCTCAAAGAACGTCATCCGTGTCGCTACCAGGTGCTGTGGCCCGTGGCAGCTGATGGAAAACAACAAGCCCCCTAGTGGCTCCATTTAAGGGGGCATCGCCTGTGCAGCATCCCCTCTTTTCCCTCTTGTCTCTCTCAATGCCCTCTCCACCAGGTGCCATGGCAGTGAGCTGCTTGTTGGTTTGACTCCACAATCAACCCTCACTTTGTTTCATCTCCTCTTGTGCCCTCTTGTCTCGCTCTCTCTCAACCTCCTCTTGTGCCCTCTTGTCTCTCTCTCTCTCAACCTCCTCTTGTGCCCTCTTGTCTCTCTCTCTCTCAACCTCCTCTTGTGCCCTCTTGTCTCTCTCTCTCTCAACCTCCTATTGTGCCCTCTTGTCTCTCTCTCTCTCAACCTCCTCTTGTGCCCTCTTGTCTCTCTCTCTCTCAACCTCCTCTTGTGCCCTCTTGTCTCTCTCTCTCTCAACCTCCTCTTGTGCCCTCTTGTCTCTCTCTCTCTCAACCTCCTCTTGTGCCCTCTTGTCTCGCTCTCTCTCAACCTCCTCTTGTGCCCTCTTGTCTCTCTCTCTCTCAACCTCCTCTTGTGCCCTCTTGTCTCTCTCTCTCTCAACCTCCTCTTGTGCCCTCTTGACTCTCTCTCTCTCAACCTCCTCTTGTGCCCTCTTGTCTCTCTCTCTCTCTACCTCCTCTTGTGCCCTCTTGTCTCTCTCTCTCTCAACCTCCTCTTGTGCCCTCTTGTCTCTCTCTCTCTCAACCTCCTCTTGTGCCCTCTTGTCTCTCTCTCTCTCAACCTCCTCTTGTGCCCTCTTGTCTCGCTCTCTCTCAACCTCCTCTTGTGCCCTCTTGTCTCTCTCTCTCTCAACCTCCTCTTGTGCCCTCTTGACTCTCTCTCTCTCAACCTCCTCTTGTGCCCTCTTGTCTCTCTCTCTCTCAACCTCCTCGTGTGCCCGATTGTTGCCACCAGGTGCCATGGCAGCTAGTGGAGGACGACAGTGACCTGCTAGCTGACTCCACTCCACAATCTATCCTCCTTTGCCGCATCTCCTCTTGTGCCCTCCTGTCTGCTCTTCCCTCCTCACCACCAGGTGCCATGGCAGCTAGTGGAGGACGACAGTGAATTGCGCTCCTTCCTGCAAGCTGCAGCTGCCTCTGCATCTGCTGCCTGAGGCGTCTAGAAGCGATGAGAAGTCTAGGAGCGGATTCTTGGAAGAGGGATTGCATAGGCGAGCGGAGCGGGATGTTCAGTTGGGAGTTTCAGTACACGTTTTGTTTAGGATAGGGGTTGTTTTGAAAATAGGATGTGTAGAGATGTTTAGGACAGGGTCCGCGTGGAATAAAAGGGCAAGGGCGTATGAGCCAGAGAGCACATGCAGAAGAAGCTGACGGACGGACGACGAGTAATGGAACAGTTATGGTACACTACCACCTGGTTTCAGGGTTGTTTTGTTCGTGTTGCATGAGGTCACTACATGAAAATGGAAAATGGAAACGGAATGAGCGCGAGCACCCGAAGCAACAATGGTTCCTGCTCGCCACTCCCTCCCAGTGAGTAATGACGAGGACGTTTTTTCTAGTTACCGTAAGTTCAACTTGCATTACGTGTGGTCAGGGTTCGAACTTCCAACCAAACAAGCTAGCAGCCATGTTCACAGAGTTGAAACACACGGCCCCACCAAGTCCGTCACAAGAGCCTCCAACCCATCCACATCTGATTGAAACCCTTTCAAACGTGGCAGACGCTGCAAGCACTTCAACCCTTCACAAGAAACCGCACAACTCAACAACTGCAACCCCTCCAACGCAGTCAGCCTTCCAATGTGCTCCATGCCTGCATCAGTTATCCCCGATAAAGCCAGGATTCTCAACCTGGTCAGGGAGGTCAAGTGCTGCAGCCCGTGATCGTCTACCCCACTCCCACTCGCCCACAGCTGCTCAAGGTTCGTCAGCTTCCCCACATGCACCATGCCAGCAGATGTAACATGCTGGCATGAGTCGATTGAAAGGAACGCGAGCGAGGTGAGGCCTGTGAGGTGTAGCAGGCCGGCATCGGTCACATTCGTGCGCATTAGTAATAGCCACTTGAGACTGGTCAGTGCTGAAATGCCTTCCAATGCATCGTCTGAAACACACGTGTCTCTGAGATCTAGAAGCTCCAGCTGTGTCAGCCTGTAGAGGTGCTTGATGCCCTCCGCACTGAAGCCCGAGGTCTTGTCCAGATAGACTTGTGACAGGTGTGTCATTGTGGAGACAACGCGAAGAACTGTGTCGGACAGGTTGGAGCAATTCGACAAAACTAGAGTGGCACGCCTTCCCATTTCCCCACTGACTGCTGATGAGATGGTCTGCAGGGAATCCACATTGCAAGACCGAGAGAAAAGGCACATCAGGCCAAGAGAGACTCTAGAACACATTCCTGCATTTGGGCAGCAATAGAACATACTGCAATCTGCGGAACAATTATGCTGCAAATGCAAAGCTCCAGTTCACAGCATGGGAGGGAAATCATGCAGGAACATAGGTGACTTTGAGGGCTGCTAAGGGCTAAGGGCTTTTGAGCCCTCATGCAAAGCACCTTTTGAGTCGACTCAAAAGGCATGGGAGGGAAATCATGCAGGAACATCTAGACTGTCCATGCTCCCATCCCATCCCAACAGCTACTACTCACATTCAACATCTGTGTGCTTCCCCAACGGCCTTGTACAAGGGAAATCCAAGCTTCCTCAAAAGCAACTTCAACCTTCAGCACACGATTGTCCTGCTCCGTGACCTTCCTGTTGGCTGCTTCGAGCTCCCTCCTTGTCTCCTCCAGCTGCTCGCCAAGCGCCCTCACTCTCTCCTCCATCACCTCCCTCCACCCATCCACTCCCAATACACGATCCGCAGGAGTTTTAAGAACCTCGTACAAGCCCTGCAATTGAGAACTGCACAGCTCAACGTAGACAGCACTCAGGTGCACACCAGTCATTGGGAAGCCATTGGGAGGCCATTGGGAAGCCAACGGGAAACAAGGAGGAGCGTATGGCAGAGATGTGAAACGAGGGGATACAAGTGCATAAGGAGATTGAGCATCATTGGTGGAGGGATCTGCACATAATGTAGTGAGGTGTATAATAGACGCTGCAAATTTCAGAGCCTAGATTTATATGCATGGACATCACTGTGTGATGAGGCACCTTGACTGAATTAAATTGTGGTAAGGAAGGTGAAAGCATCACAGGCCATAAGAAGATTGCATGAGGATACAGGGCTTTAAAGGCAGGAGTGCAAATCCTCGTCAAAACGAGAGGACAAGGAAAAGGGGCAACAAAGCCACATCAGTGAATTGAAAGATCAGAAAAGAAAGAGACATCAAATGAAGGTGTACAACAACTGAAAAAGACATACTCACATGGGTTTGTCGACCAGACAGCGAAAGCCAGGAGTCTGTGACATGGGATGGAGAGCAGGGAGGAGAAAGCAAGGGCGAGATAAATCAGCAGGATAGTAAATTAACCAGGAAGGGAGGCTCGTGAGGACCTTATTGACTAAGGAGTCTCCCTCAGCTCGCTATGAGTGCTCTGCAACACAAGAGAAAGCAGAGCCGCGCTCTGCAAGTTTGCCAACCCACATTGCCATGACCAGCCTTCTTCTGTCCGCTGGATCTTGGGGCTCTGTTTTTTTTTGAGTCGACTCAAAACACGACTCATTACGCCGCGCTCTGCAGGTTTGCCAACCCACATTGCCATGACCAGCTGGGCTTTGTTTTGTAGCCTCTACTTGGGGGCCTAGGCAAGGACAAGAAACTCATGAACAGGAACCTATGCAAACCACTCCGCACAGTTCAAACGTACTGATGATAACATAACACCATTCAACCCCTCCCCTCTCCTCGGTCCTCCATCCGCCTAGCCCGCTCTCAAACAACTCCTCCCAGCCACGTTGCAACGCCACACATCCAGCAAGATTCACATCACATACCATGAAGCACACGGCTGCACTCTTGAGCTTTATCAGCCCAGCCGTCACAGCCAAGCTCTGTTGATGCAACCACGCTCTGACTTGTGCTGGAGAGATGTCCATCCACCACAGCAGAATGGTGAGAGCAACCGCAGCTGAGTACAGCATGTGCACCTGAAGGTAGGAGCATGGGGCCCTTTTTGAGAATTCTCAAAAATACCCTGAGTACAGCATGTGCACCTGAAGGTAGGAGCATGGGACACACAACATACGCGGTAGGCACGGTCATAGGTCACGGTCGGTCATAGCGTGGGGCCAGGGCGACAAACGGCCCATCAAAAGACAGGCGGGGCAGAGATACTTGTAAATCCAGCATAAGGAAGAGCAATAAGACGCATAGCTGCGAAAGGGCAAAGATATTTGTAAAACCCAACTTAATGGTGCGTGTAAACACCAACTGGAAATACTGATCCACGCACACACCCACCTTCCCCTCCCCCCTCTTCCCTCCTCCCAACACACACACTCATTCCGATTTCACTACTTGCAAGACTAAGCCAGCCCTGTGTTTCCAGATGACTCACCGAAGCGAGAAGGAGTTGAAGCGGAACCTTGAGAGCATGAGCGTGTTGAACCAAAGCAGCAATTCCCTGTGATATATCCACCAGGACGAAAATCAATACAGAAGTCGAAATTGTGTTTTGAGAGATGATCGCGGCTGACACTATCTGCAAAGAAAGATGTACCACTCCCGCATAGGAGAACGGGACAAAACAGGACAGGGAAAAAATGGCTTGCTTGCCCCTAAGTGGTTATATGGAGAGAGTGGGGGGATGCAAGCAGGCAGGCATATGTGAATGAAGCTGCATGTACAAGCTTAGCTCAATATGACAGATGTTCGTTCATCAATGCATAAGTAGAAAAAAACTGCTATTGATTGGCATACGCTTTGTGTAGTGTCGCTGATGTAGGCGGTGGTCCTATCGAGCGGCAGGTGGATGAACCTGGTCCCGAAAGCCACAAGTGCCACCAGGATCCCCGTCGCCGCCATGGCCACTTCAACCATCCGAGCCATGGACACTAGATCAACCTCCGCGTGCCGTGACAGGAGAAGAAGTTAACGCCGCACCGGCAGCACCGACTAGGGAGATGCGCGTGCGGAGATATGATGCGGCGGTGCAGCAAATGCGCGTGGAGAAGAACATGTAAAAGAAGTGAACGGGAGAAAGGAAACTCCTGTAAGCAAGACAGCAGAACGGACTCCCAAATCCACGTAAATGCTACGAATGGTAAGGCTTCAAGAAAAATGAACTTGAAAGGTGTTGGGAAAGCGACGGAATGGGCAAGCGATGGTCATGTGAAGGCGGGCGACATGATGGGAGAGCGTGGGAGACACTCAGAGTAAGAGTGGGCGACGGACGCGGGAAGGGAGAGCCACCTAAAAGGCGACGGGAGGGAAGGCGAATTCAAGAATCTTGAACTTGAAAAGTTGCCATTCGAGACTCGGGCTTTAAGGATTCCGAAGGGCACTAAAGGGGCAGCAAGGAGGGGAAGGCAGGCCGGGGATGGACCCAAAGGATTCGGCCGGGGAAGAGGGTATCGAGGATTCGGTCCAGGAGAGAGAGTGGACTGAGGGAGGGTGCTGACTCTGCAACGTCGGCTCGACAGTGCTTGGCTTGGGATTCCTTGACAACTGATATTCGGCATACGGCTCAAAAGGTTGCCCGATATGCCTCATTTTTACGAATGGAGCGCGACTGGATCGATTTTTTTGCAACTCATTCGTTTCGCCGTTTCCCTTGTGACGCTGAACCTCCCTCCTTTCTAGATGTGCCATGATGGGCGACCATGAAGGGAGGACGGATCACGCGACGCGTTGAGTCGGCTCTGCATGCATGTAATGGCTGCGAGCTGTCGATGTCCCATGTTTCCCTCGTAAGTATCGATCCACATCATTTTCATCCACGGAACGAAAACGTCGTCGATACATTCGACCAGGGATGATGATGTGAAAGGAACTCTACCGGAAGGGTGGGCTGCGCTGCCCGAATTTCTGCAAAGGTTGCATGCCTGTTCGTCAGAAATTGCCGTAAAAGCGTCGATATTCCTGACGAAACAGAAATTTCTGGGTGTCTGACTTTGTGACGTGAGTAGCTGAAGGTGATTTGGCCCCCCTAGAGCCCTGCTCACCTTTCAGTCTAAGCGTGGCCCTCGGACCCTCCCCATTCCCCCTCACTTCCCTCCCCTCCCCCCCCACGTTCCTCCCCCGGTCCCCTCTGATCGTTCACTTATAAAAAGTTTTGCTATGAACAATGTCGAATTGCTGTTATGTTTCACTTACAAAAAACTTGTAATAAAACATTATCAAATGGGTTATTCTCTTACGTACAACACCACTCTATCAGTGACTAACACCTATTTGATCATCTAACATGAGTCCACAGTTGTTGAACGTCAGGGGTGCTATGGTACCTCTAATTTTATATACATGGCGGAAAACACGCATGTTCTCACTACTTGGAGACTACCTAGATGTGCATCGAACACCAGAAATAATTCGCAAACAGCTTGCAAAGCCCTTCCTGATCAACCAAACTCCTCTTTCGTGTACAAAGAGTCCTCAACTGTGTCAGGGAGGTCAAGAGTACCAGCCCATTGGCCGTCACTGCCGTTTTCTCAAGCTTCAGCTCCTCAAGAGTTGTCAACTTCGCCACATGCTTCATGCCAGCATTAGTTACCCCATCTGGCAGGGAAAGTTTCTTCAATCTGCCCAACGAGCGCAAGTTCTGCAGCCCCTCATCTCCCACCTGTGCCTTGCTCACACTCAGCTTCTCAAGTTTCGTCATTTGTCCCACATGGATCATGCCAGCGCTCGTAACGTCAGCAGGCACTTTGAGTTTCTTCAGCTCGAGTAGCGACACCAAGTGCTGCAACCCATCATTCTTCACCTTAGTACCAATCAGATCCAACTCCTCAAGCCATTTCAACCTCCCCACGTGCACCATGGCAGCATCACCAACCTCACCAGCCAAATCGAGTCTCTTCAGGTTGGTGAGCGAAGTGAAGTGCTGCATCCCATCACCCATCACCTCCGCGGAACACACATGCAACTCCTCCATCCCTACCAGCTTCGCAACATACGTCATGTGCGCATCAGTAGCATCCCACGGCACATACAATTTCTTCAGCTTGGCCAGGCAAGTCAAGTGCCCCAGCCCCCTGGTTGTCACCCCAGTTCCGCTCACATACACCTCCTGAAGGCCCGTCAGTTTCCCCACATGCACCATGCCGGCAGATGTGACATGCTGACAGCCATCAAGCCAGAGCTTTTCAAGCGCCGTGAGTCCAACCAAGTGCCGCAGGCCAGCATCGGTCACCTTGGTTTCAGACAGATCGAGAAACCGTAGAGTGCTCATCTCTCCGATGCCGTCCAAGCCCTTATCCACTACGGGAGTGTTGTTGAGAAGGAACCACTCCACCCGTGGGAGCTTGTACAGGTGCTTAAGACCCCTGGACGTGAACCCAGAAGCGAACTTGAGGCATAAGTTCGTGAGGTGGGGCATGGTGGATGCATACCAGAGCATCTTGTCTGAAACAACCGACATATTCCTCAAGTATAGCCTGTCAGAATCACATTCGGTTGGATCTGATGCGAGCATATCATCTGAAGGAGACAACACAGTGTGACGATAAAGCAAAGAAAGAAATGAGGAGAAATGGACGTTAGCATGCCATACAGCAACTGAACTGCACATGGAAAGAATGCACCACTTGAGAAAACATGTGGAAAAGTTTACTCACGTCCCATGCCCTTTCGACCTCTGGGTCGTCATCCCTCTCCTCTTTCGTAAAGTACTCTTCAAGGTTGAAATCTTCTTTGTCACTTTCCGCTGCCTCCAGTTGTTCCGTCACCGAGTCCTTAAATTCGGTGAAATCTTCTATAGCTGCAGCCAACTCCCTCCTTGCCACCTCCTGCTGCCCAAGAAGAGCACTCATGATCTCGGATTGGCCTTCCGCAACAGCACCCTTCACTGCTGCCAACGTTCCCTTCACCACTGCTAACTCTCTCTCCCTTTCCTCAAGCTCCCTCCTCAACCTATTCATCTCCACCCTCACCGCAGCCAGCTCCCTCTCCCTCTCCTCCACCCGCTCCCTCAACTGCAGTAAACCCCCTGTCCTGCTGTGAACCTCATCCATCTGCACAACCATTGAGAGCTTATGTTCTATCAACTCCCTTTCCCGCTCCTCCATCATCCCTCTGAGCTCTCGCCAAACTGTTGCCCTTCGTCTATCAGCCTCCTCCACCTGCTCTGTCAAAGTGGTCCTGTGATCACCCAACTCACTTCTCACTGCTGCCACATCCCTCTCCCTCTCCTCCACCTGCTCCCTCATCTCACTCCACTCCGCTGCTCTTCTCCTTTCAGCCTCCTCCAATTCCCTTCTTGTCTCTTCAAGCTGCCCGCCAAGCGCCCTCATTCTCGCATCCATTTGCCTCTTTCAGCCGGAATATTGTAGATATACTCTCGACAACTGTCCTCACAGTTTCACTCAGCGACCGCATTCCGAAACCACAGAGATCACTGCACGTGGCGGTAGACGGGCAGGAGAGTAGCAAGGAAACAAAGGCTTTGGTTCCATGTGACAAGGCGATGCTGGAAGACACATAACAATCGGAAGAACTCAGAACGTAGGACTGTTGGAGCCAAGCAAGTGGGCACGCGGTACCTAAGCATACAAAAACTAATGCATCACACGAGGAGATATGGACAGTGAATAGAGGACTCGGTATAAAAAGAATCCAGACTATTCACTGCATGATTGCCACAAACTCCGAACACATAATCTGATGAGGGCATGAAAAGTACTGAAGTTTAAGTTAGCAAACAATAAAGCGGAGGGTCATTCTCACATGGGTTTCTGGAGTAATTGTACAAGGAGAGTCATTCTTCCTTGAGCCTGTACCATTGTGACAGAGAGGAAGGGAGTGGTGAGGGAAGCAAAAGATGAAAGGAGGACGAGAGAGGAAAGAAAGATGCAGCATTGAAAGAGAGACTGATGCTTCCATGACCAATACCACTCTTGGTGAAAGAGGCAGGATATTACTCACCAATAACACTAAACTAGGTTGGCTTATTCGTAAAAGCCATGGCCGACCCGATAAACATCTAATCGCATTTCCAAGCCTCCTACTTTGCTTGCCACAGAACCATTCAGAAGCCATGAGCTCATGTGTCGTTCACCTTCAGTCCGCACTATGACCAGCTGCCGAGCATACACCAATCGCCCTCTCATGGCCAAATTCAGGAAAATTAGTGTGATAAAACCCCTGCGTACATACCATGAATGACATGACCGCAATCTTTAGCTTGGCCAGAACAGTCAAGCCCTGACACACCCATGCTCTGACTTGCGGTTGTGACACCTCCATCCACCAGAGCAGAATGGTGAGAGGAAGTATAGCCGAATATAGAATGTGGACCTGCAGTCAGAAGGACAGGGTAACGTGGACTCATGATGAACATGGTGCACAAATGATGGGCTCAACCTGTGCCGAACTGTACTAGATGGTACATGTCTGTCACAGTGTCTTTTGATTTTAGTCTGACTAAAAAATGTGGCATGGCTGTGGGAGATGCTTGTTGATGGGAGACGAGGTTGAGAAACGAACCAGACTGCGTGGTGCGTGTCTCACTCACACGCCCACCAGTGGTCCACTCTCATGGGCCAGGTTCGTTCGGGTTACATGATAGTCAAGCAGCTTGACTGGTTGTAACGAGAACACCAGTTTCATTCCACGCACCAAGCTGTATGGGGCGCGCGCCAAGCAATAACAGCAATAATCTGAAAGGCAGATACATGATGGCAATGGCTACATGCTGCTGGGGACAGGTCATAGAACGGAGTGAAGAGGGAAGAGGAACGGAGAACAAGGAACAGAAAAGAGGGAACGGGAATACAGAAGAGATAACGGTCCCGGCCCGGGGAACGTAGAGACAATGAAACAGCATACCAGCTTGACGCAGCATCTGACAGTGGAAGAGTAGGTTCCAACGATGATCGCGGTGTTATATTCGCGACAACGAATGCGAGCAGCACCCGTGGCACCGCCATACCCACTTCAGCCGTCCAGGCCGTGGGCATCAGGACGAACCAGCCGTGCCGCAGCAGGGGGGGACTTGGAGGCTAGGAATCTCAGGATTCTTGCGGCTGAAATGACGGAGCTAGACGGAGGCAAACGGACGAGATGGGAGATGATAACGAAGGGAGAAGACGGATTGGAAGCGGACTTATGAAACGAAATGCAACGGGGCCCGGTGAGAGAGGGGTGATCCGGATGCGGATTTCTGGGTGGAGATTGGTGGAGGAATGGGCGCGCGGGGCGACAAAGGTGGAATGGCGGACATTTGTGCCATCGTCGCTGCCAGGCAGAGGCTGGGTGGGCTGCATGCGGCCATAGCAGCGATGATTTCCCGCCTTGCGAGATGACGCCATAGCGACGACGTCATGGAACCACCGGAGGTTACGATTGTGATCCCCGATTGACAGATGGAACTCCAACCCATCCAGCACGGTCAGAGTGCCGCTCTTGCTTTAGGTGACCTTGGGAAGTTCGACGGTCGGCGGTCAAACCTAGTGGCAGAGTACGTGGCGGAAGTGCATGATGTCATCATCATGAACTTGATGAACTTGATGTCTTCATAGTCGCCAAGGCGGAAGTGGTCAAGAATCCCGAAATTGCTGTTCAGCCGTTTGAGCTTCTGCTTCATCGAGGTTCTCGTGCTCTTCGCCTGAAACCGCATCGAACTTTGCCTCTGATTTCGATGCACACAATCGGCGTGCAGATGTGCATGTCACTTACCTCTGCCGTGCATACCGTTTCTATCACTGTCGTTCTCTCAAAACGCCTAGGGAAAATCGAGACGCTGTAAATTTATCTATACGTCGAGTCGAGAGAGCTCAAATGCATTCGACGAAGCACGTGGAGTGAACAACAACTGGCATGATACCTAAAAATGTACGAAACGAAGTCCGGATGACAGTGCAGACGATTTTGTTCGGTGGCCGGAACGGGGTCGTCTGGAAGGCTGCTGTGCTGTGATGTGAAGGCACATGCTTGCTTCCGACACCCGAAACTGCGACAAACCTCCCTAAAGAAAGCATCGCCAAAAAACAAAGTCCGACATGGAAACGGAACATTTCGTACCAAAAGGCAGGCATATGAAATCTGCTACTATTTTAATAAGCACATACTACAACCCCTACCGGCTTTTGAGTTGACTCAAAAACCATCCCAAACAAGCCTCAACAGATGATACCACCTACGCTTGCTGCAAGCTCTGGCTCGTGTTCCCAACTTCCTAGCCCCCACAACATTTATTTCCTCTAATCCAACCCCCTAAAGCTGCTCCTGCCATCACTGAGCATCACATGCAGCCGGCAGCAACAGCACCAGCAGCTGCAGCACCAGCAGCTGCAGCACCAGCAGCAGCACCAGCAGCAGCAGAACCAGGAGGAGCAGCAGCAGAACCAGGAGGAGCAGCACCAATGCCAGTTGATATTCTCAACCCTTCCATTCCAACGGTAGCTCCCCTCTCAGCGCGGAGCATCAGCACTGCAGCAGCCGCAACCATCAGCAACACCACCACTGGCGCCAGCACCAGCACCAGCAGCAGCACCACCACTGGCACCACTAGCAGCACCAGCAGTGCAGCAGCAGCAGCAGCAGGGGCACCACTCCTGTCAGTCAAATCAGCTAAAACTCAACTCAACACCCTTATGTTAGCACCAGCACCACCACTTTAGCACAACGACAATCACCACCACCACCGTCACCATCAGCATCACCAGCCCCAGTCAAACTGGCACCACGTGCTGCTGAATTCAGCCCTCCATTACTTGCCCAAACTCCACCATCAACCCATCAGCATCACCCAAGCATATCACCAATCACCACCACACCATTTCCAACCAATTCTCTATTTGTTCAGCTTCCTCAACCTACCACATCACGCCCAAGCACATACACATCACCATTCATCATAACTTTTGAGTCGACTCAGATGTCACCTATCCTCCCCACCTTCCTCACCCTGCCACCCCCACCAAGGTCCTCCTCTTCCTCTTCCTCCCCTTCGCCCCCACTCGTCCCCCCCCCCAACCTGCCACCCCAACCGAAGTGACTTTTGAGTCAACTCAAAGTTCACCTATCCGCCTCACCTTCCTCACTCTGCCACCCCCACCAAGGTCCTCCTCTTCCTCTTCCTCCCCTTCACCCCCCCTCCCCTCACCATACCCTCCTGCCCTTCCCCCTCCCTGGCTCTCGGTCTCCCTTGCGCGATTCCGACTAATCTTGCGAACCGGCGCCTGCTGCTGCTGCTGCTCCTGCTGCGACTGCCACTGCTGCTGCGTCTCATACAACGTTCCCTCTGCCCCACCTGCTTCTCCTGCTTCTCCTGCTCCTCCTGCCCCCCCTGCTCCCGCAGCCTCTCCTGCCCCTCCCGCCCCCCCTGCATCTCTTGCTGCTCCTGCTCCTCCTCCCCGCCCTCCCGCTCCGCCTCCCCCTCCCCCTCTCCCCCCCTCTCGTGCGGTCATCACTTCTGCACCATCAGGCACCGCCTCGCACAGTTTCTGCAGCAGGTGTGTAGTCAAAGGGAAAGGAAGAGAGGAGACGAATCAGGCAATGAGGTGACTTCTGAGTCGACTCAAAAGTCCCATCAGGCACCGCCTCTCACAGTTTCTGCAACAAGTGTGTAGTCAAAGGGACAGGAAGAGGGTAGACGAATCAGGCGTGTCAGACGAATCAATCTAGAGTTAGAGCTAAAAATCTACTACAAACTGTAAAAAAGCACCTTCCCGTCCCCTTCACATCGACCTGTACCCCTTACCCCACCCCGGCACCTCACCTTCCAGTCGTTGATGTCAAGGCGCATTATAAACTGCCCCTTCGGCTCGCTGCCTGATGCGGGCTCCGTGGGTGGGCGAAGGTCTGCCGAGCAGGTGGAATAAAATTATTCATGTGTAAATATCATTGGATCAAGATGGATAACTTTAATTCGAGACGGGTCCGCAGACATTCACTCGATGGAAAAAGCTATACGATTCTGATCTGGAGGCTTCTATTTGTGAGTGGGCTTTCACCCAAAAAGCGCAACAAGCGAACAAGACCAAATGTAGTCAAACTCACCCACAGCCGCCCCAAAATTCGGGTCCGGCATGAGCCCCACGCGGCCCTCTTTCACAAGGAAGGAGAGCGCAAACATGTTCTCCACCATGTGAGCAAAGGACACGACACCCATGCACGGGTATCAACAACCCCATGGCCCAACCAGATGCGGACTTACCGACGGCAGCCCCAAAAGTGGGATCAGGCGCGAGTCCCACGCGGCCCTCTTTCACAAGGAAGGAGAGCGCAAACATGTTCTCGACAGTGTGGGCAAAGGATGTGCGCGACAGCAGCAGCTGTGGCAGCTGCACGCGGTGCCGTGGTGCCCTCTTGAGCCGGCGATACATCTCCTTCACTGTCCCTTCCGTTGCCGTCTCCTTGCTGCCACTGCCCTCTCCTGCTTCGCCTTCCTTCCCTTGCTGCTTGTTCAGCTGGTGCATGTGGAACGGAGGGATTAGGGAGGGAGAAACACAAGGGAATGGCAAAAGAGGGAGAATGAGCAAGCAGTGCAGTGCACTGCTGGTGGTGACAGCCAGCAGTTGCGGCAGCCGCACGCCACTACTGCCGCCTTCCCCCCTACCCACCTCACCTGCGTGGGAACCACAGCTGGTAACCACACCTGCGCAGAAACCAGAGTCCCCCCCACAGCCTCCCCTCGCTGCCTGCGCCCTGCGCTTTTAAGGCGCCTCAAAGCTCACCTGCGTAGGAACCACAGTGGCCCCCACCACGTCTCTCTTGCGCCTGACTGCCTGCGCCCTGCGCTTGGGCGCCTCCGCCTCCATGGGACCCAGCCTGCCCCGCACCAGGTCAAGGGGGGAGACAAGGGGGGACAGGGGGGAACAGGAGGGGGAGACAGGGGGAGACAGGGTTGCGAACAGGGGGAAGAGTGGGTGGCAGGGGAAGGAAAATGTATGCTGAGAGAGAGGCAAGGGCGGGAAGGGGTATGCTGGGAGGAGGGGGGTGGGGGAGAAGGGGTGTTAGCAAGGTGTAGAGATCGAAATAAGCAACGGAAAAGAAATGATACATGCTGGCAAGGTGCAGGGGTGTTGCTACGTAGAGGAGGAACATGCAGATATTACTTAAAGTCTCACATGGTGCCAATCGTCCAAGCAGGCCGCACCAGCTCCAACCCAAACTCCCTCCCCATCCTCGCCCAATCCATCTCCCCCTCCTCCTCACCCTCTTCTCCCACTCCTTCCCCCTCCTCCCCTCCTTCCGTCTCCCCACCTCCCCGCGCCCTCCCCCGTCCGCCTCCCCCGCGCGCCCCATGCCCGCACAGCCCTGCGCGGACGAGGTACTTGGCTCTGAGCGCCGCAACGAACTGCTCAGGCGTGGCAGCGTGGCGGCGCAGCAGCGCCTCCGTGGAATGCGCCAGAACCTGCAAGGGGCCGCCCAGAACATGTTACTATCGAAAACACAGGTGCGATACAGCATGTGCAATCTTAAAAGGAAATATACAAACGGGGGAATTTATTAAACGTAATGCAAGTGAAGTGTAGTTAATGAAAGTAATGAAAGAATAATACCTGCGAGAGGCCGTCCAGCACGTCGGCGTCCATGAGCTTCTCGCGCAGCTTCAGGTCGGAGGCCGCGCCCGGGTTCGTGGTCAGCTTGTTGGCTGTCTCCAGAATCTCCTCAAACTTGCTCGACCCGATGCTCAGCTCGTTGCGGTTGGAGCACTCTGGTAATGCGGGATGGGAGGAGAAAGAGGGTAAACAAAAAGTAATAAGACATCACGCTTACGACTTCCTGACACTGGTTCACCGTCAGAGTACTGATGGTTTTGAATTTATTGATTTTGTTAAAACTTCTCGTGAGAAAAGAAGAAGAAGGTAGACGTGTGCTAGCCAGTACAAGCATGCATTAGCAGGTCACGAACAAGACGAAGGGATATTGGTTACAGACGAGTGAGAACGCGAGTAGTAAGGGCTGAGTATGGCAATCTGAAAAAGCTAGGGTTGTTAACGAGTGAAGCTGGTGCCAGTACAGCGAAACAATGCAGCAACTTAAGGTTATGGCAATAAGTATGCAACTTAAGAAGGCCGCAACAAAAAGAAAATAGAACAAGTAATGTGATGTCAAGACCTAGAAAATAGAACAAGTAACTAACACTTGATGGATGAAAAGACCACCGTAACAGAATATGCCAAGTTTAAGCCATTTCTAAGGGACAAAAATCCTTCGCAATAATCTTACCCGCAACTTGCGCTTGAAGGCCTCTTAGCCGAACCCTAACCTCCCGGCGCCGTTTCAGATTATTCGCCATCTGCGCCGCTCCTTCGTTTTCCTGATTTTCCCGCCTGTCCCTTTGCCGGTTCATCAGCCGACCTCGGTTCAAGGTGCTGCCGGTTGGCACCGTAGAAGGGCCGGAGTGCTGCAGTTGAAACGACGGCGGCATTCCCGTGAAGGATATGAACCCTAATGGACGGGTCCTCTACAGTCTGACGAACTATGACTTAATTTTAAGTTCAAGCTTGAAGTTACTCGCGCGAACGCACGGTATATCTTGCTCCTCTAACTGAAGTGCTGGAACCCTAAAGTATACTGACAAGACGCAAGAAAAAACGTTCTCCGTGAGCGACAGTGCTGCACCATGCACAAAAGCATTATGAAACGACTTTGCTCGAGGTCGCGGTTTAGATTATTCTCGGCCTTTACAAAGACTCTTCAGGGATACCTTGGAGTTACTTCAGAGTGACGCCAGGCTTTCAAACGTTGCACCTTGTTGTGCTTCACACAGACAACAGTTGAACGCGCGGGAAAGAGCGAATGTTCGAGCAGGCTGACAAAATTTGTGTGTTCCAGTTTTTGCAGTGACGCAGTCCTACCAAGGTAATCGTGAAGTGGGAATATCTTTCAACGATCACTGCAAAAATCGTTGTCGACGTTGGGAAACTCATGCTTCAAAACCATACCTGGTTACCCTTTGACGTCCGAGGGTTGCGGGTACTCGGGGGTAAGACAAGGGGCAACTGGGGCAGAATTCCTGATGCTGGAGAATTGTAGACTTGGCGGGAAACGGTACCGCGTTTTCACAATTTGCGTCATGCTGACATTACAGTTAGGTCGTATCCCTGGCTTTGTGTCAAGAGTGGATAGTGTCATGACACTATCTCGGAAAACGCTGGAGGACTAGTCCTCCTGGTGTCAGCTAAACCGACCAATCTGATCGCGGGAAATTGCCCAATGTGCCCAACATTGACACCAGGCTGGAGCCGCGTGCGGGCGCGGCTCCACCTGGTGTCAAGCGAATTTCCCGCTTGACACCAACAGTATCTTGACACTAGCCAGGGATACGTCCTTAGGATTTCTGTGTTCGGTTTGGAAATTCCAGAGTTTGAAAGCCCAATTCAGGTGACTTCGATAAGTGCATCACACAGCTTCGCAAAACCAACCACACAAGTTTGTCAACAAATTGTAACTCTCTTCTGCTACAAGTAAAAAATATCACGTCTAATCTAAACGGCACCTAATAATTGCTACATATTAGTGCTCTACATGTGAATATCCTAGCCACAACAATCTAGCAAAAATATGTGTACACGAGGGACTTGATTGAAGATCGATCTAACCAAGCTAGTTCGACAACCAACCCTATTTTTTTCCCTGGTCAGCTTCATTCGACCTATAGTTACTACTAACCATGTGCTTTGGCTTATACTCGTACGGAGCTGACTTCGGACCCCACACCTGCCAGAGGGGAAAATGTTAAGACACAATGACCAGTGCAGGTTGTTGAGTACAAGACAAATATAAAGGGCACATGCATATAACAAGCAGATGCGAACTTACCTGTACCCCATCATCCTTGTAGCCTCTGTCCCAACTGTGAACTTCTCCACTGCGAAATAGAGTAAGCTCTGAAGTGCACCTGGTAGCTCCGTTCTGCATGAATAGACAAGGCGGCAGAGTATCCCCCCCACTTGGTCAACCCCCCACCAGAAACAAACCATCAAACAAACAAATGAATGAGCTAGCTGTTGCCACATCCAGCAGCTGCACCAGTGGATGGAGCACAGTGAAGAGACGAAACTTGAGAATCTGAATCTGTGAGTCTGCAGATCGGAAACGTTTATGCTAAAATGCCCTACCCAGTTGTTTGGAAAACCTCCTGGAGGTGTTGAGCCTTCATATGCACACTTCCGCCCTCCCTCACATCGCGAGAGGTACACTGTGGCAAGGTGCTCCGAAATATCCTGGTGCACAGATACACAATGGGGTGAACGTCGTGACAACAAATTGAGCTTCCAGTTCAATACATTGTCCCAGCAGGGCTTCGAACCAAGAACATGCATCGAAACCTGGGCTTACCCCAATGACCTCCTCTGCTTGTGGCCGCTGATTCTTTGGGCGCTCACAGTAGTTTCGGTACTCTTCAACGTCTCGAAGGGCATAGCTCGCCACCTGCAAGTGAATTGTCAAAACGATAAGAATCCCGTCACATCATGTTTATATTGGCTGGACAAAATGGAAACAGGTACAGGGTGCTTGCGCTACTCTGCACTTGGAAATTGATGCTGTTAGAAACTAGCTGACTGAGATTCCTCAGCAAAGTAGCTCACCTCAGCATCACACTTCATTTCTTTGGAGCATGGCCTCACAACATAGAAGCGCTGCAGGCATGCGGAAAGAAGTCAGGCATAAGAATCAGGACAGATATAGCATCAGGAATGAAGACAGAGTGAGCACAGAGAATGATGAAACTTCATCATTGTAACTGCTGGACAGAATGGAAAGGGGCGAAGTGCACCTGGCGGAAAGGCTTTTCAGGTGACCTCCAGAAGGCCTGCACAGATGGGCACACAACGAACAGTAGACCACTTGCAATTCAGTTCAAGCGCCAGGTGAAGGCCATTGACCTTGGACAAGCAATTATCTCGTGGTAACGGTGGGAGAGGCGGGTGGGGTGAGGAACGCAAGAAGAAGAACGTACTTGTCAACTTACAAATTGGAATAACGCACTTTCGGCCTCTACCTAGGTTATATACCTGCTCGCAGTAAAGGACACGAGAGCCATCCTCCAAAACGGCTGCAGGACAAGAATCGAGCCTGGGACGAAGACGCATTACATGAAAAGGCAGGGGGAGAAGAATGAGTACTGGAAGGAGAGCGCAAGGGCTGGAGACAAGGACACAACCAGCGACTAGGAAGATAGGGAACGGCCGGGTCTACGTTTTCCGTGTCGTCTAATTACGCAGCTATATAAATTTGCAGGCACCTGAGATTGAAAAAATTAGCAGGATCGCGTGCTGCTTGGTCTGCTGAAAACTGCAGGGAAATAAAATCAGTTATAGTTAGCTACTGAGTTCAGTACATTCGACGCAGAAAGAAAAGGTAAGCGACTAAGCTACCTTCTCTCCGGTCAACAGATTAGTAACTTCGCGACAGTGATCCCTCCTAGCCCGACTAATCAATCTCTTCAATATGTACGCGCCGCCAAGCACGCACGCCGCCTTGATCATAACGCCTTGATTTAGCCATTTAGGTCCTCCGCTACCAGAATCTTCCGAACCCTTACTGCCGACTCCTGACTCTCGCTGATCATGCTTTCCAGAGAGAGGAGGCCCAACGCCGGACTCCATCCTACCAGTAAAAACGAGAACACGTCAACGACGTCTCTAATATGGCGCGAAATTATAACCGCGACTAGAAAATATCAAGCTAGGGTCACAGAATCACGGAAAGCTGATCGCGGTCTTTACTGACGACTAATGGCTGTTGTGAGTTTTCCGGTCTGATCCTGAATCCTGAAATTGGCTTATCTCTGACTGTAGGATTTGACACTCCATGCTGCGAAAGGCTGAGTCATCGGCGCAGTTCGTGAGCTGTTCTACGCGAAGAAGCTTGTACATTCCGGGCGCTATTGGCTTATCTATGTAATGCGAGTTACACATAATGGAAGTCAAGAAATGTACACTTCATTTATGAAATAGATTCAAACAAATGAAAGAAAAAATGCTGAGACAATGTTGAACTAGATTGAGCACATTTACAGATTAACAAAGCTAAAACATTACCGTACAATAGTTCGCCCTTCTAAAACTGTGCCTTTCCACCTTTCCTTGAATCACTACCACTATCATTACCACTAGACCCCCTTCCTCTACCACCACCTCGTCCTACGTTCCTAGAATCCCTAGCACCAGCAGCACCACCGCCGAATTTCAACGGCACCACGGGCTTCAAGGGGTAATTTGATCCTTCGGCATCCAACTTGTATGTAGCTCGCTCGGAGGGAGCGAGGCGGTAGGGGAAGTGGCGAAGGGAAGGAGGGAGAGCTGCCAATTCAGGGATCCAGTGCGCAACGTAGTCGCCATTGGGATCATACGTGGACGCCTGCAATACACGATGGATGCAGGGAATAGGAGAGATGCGATGCATACACTCGGAGGATGAAAAAGGGAAGCACGCACATGCGAGTGGCTCAAGTGATGCACCGTATTGAATGAGAACATGAGGAGCGCACACCAAGTGAGGAAATTGATGACACATGTTCGAAGCACATACCTGCTTGGGAATGCTGAAGTATCGATCCTCCCTGGGATCATTGCCCACACCTGCAGTGGTACAAAGGGGGCGGGGCACACCAGGAAAGGCAGACCGCAGAGGCCACGAAATCATGAAGACACCTAAAAAGCCACACTCCCATCATACCATCATCCCACCATGCAATGCGTCTTACCTGCGTCATAAGCTGTAACCCCACCACAGGACAAGTTTCCCTACCACCCTGCACATAAAACGCATCACATAAACCTCATCACATAAACCTCATCACATCAACCTCATCACATAAACCTCATCACATAAACCCTCATCACATAAACCTTATCACATAAACCTCATCACATAAACCTCATCACATAAACCACATCACATAAACCCTCATCACATAAATCTCATCGCATAAACCTCATCACATATACCCTCATCGCATAAACCTCATCTCATCGCATAAACCTCATCTCATCACATAAACCTCATCACATAAACCTCATCACATAAACCCTCATCACATAAGCCTCATCACATAAACCCTCATCACATAAACCTCATCACATAAACCCTCATCACATAAACCCTCATCACATAAACCTCATCGCTATGGACCATACCAGCGCCGTATAGCTCCGAGCACTGTAGCAATAACATACCCGTACCATACCAACATTGTACCAGTGTCGTACTCACCGGCACCATACCAACGCTGTAGCAGCATCATACCATAACAGCACCGTACCAGCAACGTACCAGCGCCACAGAACCAGCAGCGTACCAGCACCGTAGGTCCAGTTGCCGTAGCTAGAAGCAGGGTCGTGGTCAAGGAGGAGCGACTTGAACCATGAAGGTCCAATTACATTACCACCCTGCCACCGTATCAGCACCATACCAACCACGTACCAGCGCCATATGTCCAGTTGCCGTAGTTGGAGGCAGGGTCGTGGTCAAGGAGGAGCGACTCAAACCATTCCGCCCCCATGCGCCAGTCCATGCCCATGTCCCGCACCAGGAACGAGCACACTATCTGTGGCATGCAGTGTACAACATGCAGCACACATGCATTGATGTTCGGTGGGTTGACACTGCAATTCTGATTACTCAGCCCCCATGCGCTATTCCATGCCCATGTCACGCACCAGGAACTAGCACACTGTCTGTGGAATCTCCCAAAAATGCATGGATGCAAACAATGGGTGGATTTCAGGTGGAATAACAGTGGCTGAGACACCCTATACCATGGAAAGGAAGACAAGTTGAGTGCATGGACCACGGGATGTGAAAAGGGAAATGCGATACCTGAAAAAGCAGTTGCGCATGGGCCACACGCGAGGGGTTTAGTCCAACCCTTCACGCCGAACCTGAACACGCCACATACGTGCCTGACGGGCCTATACCGCACCTGTCTGCCTCGGTTGGACATGAAACCCGTGGCTGCGAGCTCCCTCATATTGGCGTCCACCAGAGGGTACCTGGCGCGTGAGTGGAAGAAATCATAAAAAAACGAAAATTCATGGAAAATGAAGATCAGTTTAGCAAGTACTAACATGTGTGCGAGCTTTTATCAGTTGAAATAAGAAAACAGCTGACAGGGAAGGGCTGGGGAAGAGGCAGGGAGGTCACAGAACATATTCGCAAATGTTCACATGCACGCAGGCATGCATGCACGCACACATGCACACACTCTCTCTCTCTTCCACTGTCTCACTCGCTCTGTAGAATGGCCCCATACTTACACTCACTCGCTCACGCACTTGATACACTCACCCCGTTCGTGCTTCCCGCCACGCATCAAAGAGTGCTCTGTCGGTGGACCAATCTCGGCCGTTAAATTGCAGCTTGCGAGGCCCACCTGATGCGATCCATACGGATGGACAGGTGGAGAGGAGGAAGTGGTGGAGAGGAGGAAGTGGTGGAGAGGAGGAAGTGGTGGAGAGGAGGAAGTGGTGGAGAGGAGGAAGTGGTGGAGAGGAGGAAGTGGTGGAGAGGAGGCAGTGGTGGAGAGGAGGAAGTGGTGGAGAGGAGGAAGTGGTGGAGAGGAGGCAGTGGTGGAGAGGAGGAAGTGGTGGAGAGGAGGCAGTGGTGGAGAGGAGGAAGTGGTGGAGAGGAGGAAGTGGTGGAGAGGAGGCAGTGGTGGAGAGGAGGCAGTGGTGGAGAGGAGGAAGTGGTGGAGAGGAGGAAGTGGTGGAGAGGAGGCAGTGGTGGAGAGGAGGAAGTGGTGGAGAGGAGGCAGTGGTGGAGAGGAAGAAGTGGTGGAGAGGAGGCAGTGGTGGAGAGGAGGAAGTGGTGGAGAGGAGGAAGTGGTGGAGAGGAGGAAGTGGTGGAGAGGAGGCAGGAGAACAAGAGGGACGGGATTGGTACAGAGGTGTGAAATGAACATGTGGAGATAAGAGGCGGAGGGATGAGAGGGGGTAGTGGAGATCAGATGTTGAGAACGATTGGTGGCTCGGAGTGAATGGAACGAAAGGGTTAAGAGGTCTGGTGCACTGCAGTTAAAGGCAGTGGAACGAGGTGAGAGCAGTGCAAGAAAGTGAGTGGCGTACCCAGGTGGAAGATAGAATTTCCGCATTTGATGGAGAGGAATCGGAAGTAGTCCCTCCAGATGAGCTCAAATAGCACCCTGCAGTAGAGAAGGGAAGGGCGCATGGTAGGGGCACAAAGGAGGGGCACATGGGAGGGTGAATGGTAGGGACACATGCACGAATCTTCCTTAGAATCAATCTGAAACCGCCTGCAACAAGGAGGTAGTCCCTCCAGATGAGCTCAAACAGGACCCTGGGGTAGAGAGGGGGGCGCATGGAAACGTGCACGAATTCTTATTTGAATTCTCAAAAACCATGTCCCCCCTCTCTCTAGGAGTGGTCAGACAGGAGGAGTCCCCCCAGATGACCACCAGATTAGCTCAAACCGGACCCTGGTGTGTTGGGGCCGTATGCACGCATGGGAGGGAAGCATGGAAACGGAACGTGCGAGGGAGGAAGCGTGAGAGGGATCGTGCACGAGGCATGGGAGGGTGCACGAGGCATGGGAGGGTGCACGAGGCATGGGAGGGTGCACGAGGCATGAGAGGGTGCACGAGGCATGGGAGGGTGCACGAGGCATGGGAGGGTGCACGAGGCATGGGAGGGTGCACGAGGCATGGGAGGGTGCACGAGGCATGGGAGGGTGCACGAGGCATGGGAGGGTGCACGAGGCATGAGAGGGTGCACGAGGCATGGGAGGGTGCACGAGGCATGAGAGGGTGCACGAGGCATGGGAGGGTGCATGAGGCATGGGAGGGTGCATGAGGCATGGGAGGGTGCACGAGGCATGAGAGGGTGCACGAGGCATGGGAGGGTGCACGAGGCATGGGAGGGTGCACGAGGCATGGGAGGGTGCACGAGGCATGGGAGGGTGCACGAGGCATGGGAGGGTGCACGAGGCATGAGAGGGTGCACGAGGCATGGGAGGGTGCATGAGGCATGGGAGGGTGCATGAGGCATGGGAGGGTGCACGAGGCATGAGAGGGTGCACGAGGCATGGGAGGGTGCACGAGGCATGGGAGGGTGCACGAGGCATGGGAGGGTGCACGAGGCATGAGAGGGTGCACGAGGCATGGGAGGGTGCACGAGGCATGGGAGGGTGCACGAGGCATGGGAGGGTGCACGAGGCATGGGAGGGTGCACGAGGCATGGGAGGGTGCACGAGGCATGGGAGGGTGCACGAGGCATGGGAGGGTGCACGAGGCATGAGAGGGTGCACGAGGCATGGGAGGGTGCATGAGGCATGGGAGGGTGCATGAGGCATGGGAGGGTGCACGAGGCATGAGAGGGTGCACGAGGCATGGGAGGGTGCACGAGGCATGGGAGGGTGCACGAGGCATGGGAGGGTGCACGAGGCATGAGAGGGTGCACGAGGCATGGGAGGGTGCACGAGGCATGGGAGGGTGCACGAGGCATGGGAGGGTGCACGAGGCATGGGAGGGTGCACGAGGCATGGGAGGGTGCACGAGGCATGGGAGGGTGCACGAGGCATGAGAGGGTGCACGAGGCATGGGAGGGTGCATGAGGCATGGGAGGGTGCATGAGGCATGGGAGGGTGGATGAGGCATGGGAGGGTGCATGGGGAGGGTGCATGAGGAGGGTGCATAGACGCCTGGGAGGGGTGCAAGGCACATACCAGTATGTAGATTCGTTTGCCACTCGCTCCTTCTCATACCGTAACACCTGCAGGTGAGGCCAGCAACCAAGACAGGCACACCAAGACAAGCACACACATACATTTTGCGTGTTTCATAAGTTGCTGTAACGCGATTTGATAGCATTGCGTGTTCCAGTGGGGCAACACACTAATGCGGTGTGTTGCACCAGGAATGCGAGTAGACGTTGTGCCCACAAAATCGCTGAAACCCATCTGTCGCTCCCAGGTACCTTGCTGCATTGTGATACACACCTATGCACCGCATACAACACACTTATGCACCGCATACAACACACTTCTGCACCGCATACAACACACTTATGCACCGCATACAACACACTTATGCACCGCATACAACACACTTCTGCACCGCATACAACACACTTCTGCACCGCATACAACACACTTCTGCACCGCATACAACACACTTCTGCACCGCATACAACACACTTCTGCACCGCATACAACACACTTCTGCACCGCATACAACACACTTCTGCACCGCATACAACACACTTCTGCACCGCATACAACACACTTCTGCACCGCATACAACACACTTATGCACCGCATACAACACACTTATGCACCGCATACAACACACTTATGCACCGCATACAACACACTTCTGCACCGCATACAACACACTTATGCACCGCATACAACACACTTATGCACCGCATACAACACACTTATGCACCGCATACAACACACTTCTGCACCGCATACAACACACTTCTGCACCGCATACAACACACTTCTGCACCGCATACAACACACTTCTGCACCGCATACAACACACTTCTGCACCGCATACAACACACTTCTGCACCGCATACAACACACTTATGCACCGCATACAACACACTTCTGCACCGCATACAACACACTTCTGCACCGCATACAACACACTTCTGCACCGCATACAACACACTTCTGCACCGCATACAACACACTTCTGCACCGCATCGCATGCCTCTGAATAGACGAAATGGGCAGAGATGCAACCATGCGCCAGCCACGGCAACAGCTTGATGCTGTAATCCGCTCCCAGCATGCCGTTGCACCCCCACTCTCCCTCCCATGTACCTTGCTTAACCACTACAAACACCTCTGGACTGCTACAACCATCATCACTTCTGCACCGCATCACACACCTCTGAATGGATGAACCGCGCGGAGATGCACCCATGGGCCAGCCACAGCGACAGCTTGATGCTGTAATCCGCTCCCAGCATGCCGTTGCAGTCCCTTCCTCGCTACCATGTATTTTGTTTGTTGTACCCAACACATCATCCCCCTAATCCATCGGACCCCTCTGCACCGCAGCACACACCTCTGAATGGATGAATCGAGCAGAGATGCACCCATGTGCCAGCCAAGGCGACAGCTTGGTGCTGTAATCCGCTCCCAGCATGCCGTTGCGAGTCAGCTTGTACTCTTTAATGCAGTCCCGCTTCCACACATACTCCTCCACTCGAGCCAATGCTGCTGTTTCACCACCCTTGAATGGCAGCACACCCCTCGGATCCTGGTTCAAGGAAGATGGGGAGCAGGAAGGCAAGCAATAGATAAATTCAAAACAGCTGAATATGTCTCGTTTGTACTCGTTAATGCAATCCCGCTGCCACACATACTCCTCCACCCGAACCAATGCTGCTGTTTCCCCACCTCTAAACGGCAGCACACCCCTTGGTTCCTGGTTTATGGGAGTTGAGAATCAGGAAGGAAGGAGATGGAATCAATTCAGGGTTGTCGTATTCACTAAAAGCGCCCGCACTATCTTGGATTCAATTCGGAAACGCCACAGGATGCACGTCCTTAAAAAAAAACTAACGAGAGTGGGCACAGCCAGAGCAGAGCTACCTGTGGTGGCGGTTTGGCTTTTGAGAATTCTAAAAAACGAATGATTTGAGCACAGCCAGAGCAGAGCTACCTGTGGTGGCGGGTCGTCAATCCCAAGGTCTGCCAGAGAAGGCATGGAGCCCAAGCCACCGACCCTGTCAATAGCTTCGCCAGAGAGGAACGGGCCGAGGCTGGCAGGAATGGTAAGGGGCGGGCGGACCTTAGCTTTGGTTTCCACAGCCTGAGGAGAGAGCAGGGGAAAAGGGTGGAAAATGGTAGGAACCGAGTGGGAGAGGAGGACAGGGTGAGAGCGCTTCATTCCCTTTAAAAAGGGGAGGACGGAACATGGTTTGGGGGTTTTGATTCGGTGTTCCGGAGGCAGAGGGAGCCTGAATTGCCTCTAAAATCAATGCTTCACAGTAAGACGAAACACCACGACAGGGCTGTGCTGCGGGCCACAGAAAAAGGCTTACTGAGAAGCTGCCTGTTGGTATTCCAGTGTATTCACAATGCTACAGTATCCACCCCCTTTACAGACAGACTCACCTTTCGGAACTGTGTGTAGACGTCAGGCAGGGCGGCAGGAGCGAATGGCAGATCATCCACGTGGTACATGGTCAGCCCCCATATCAGATCCAGCTTCGGGCGGCGACCGTTGGCAGTGTCTGCTGCGGGCCGTTCTTGAGCTGTTGTTGGGCCTCCTGTGGCCCTCGTTATAGTCACATTGTTTAACGCATGTTTGAGGTTCCTCTCCACCCTGAGCTCCTCGTCTGTTGTTTCCACCTGAGCCACCACCTGGAAACTCCCCGGAAGGGAAGGCAACCCAGAAGACGAGTTGAAGTCTGTTCATCTTCGCCCAGAAGGCAACCAGGTGACTTTTGAGGCGACTCAAAAGTCAGAAGACGAGTTGAAGTATGTTCATCTTCTCCCAGAAGGAGGCAACCCAAGTGCTTCACCTCATAAACGAATGAACACAGAGCACAAGGACCGGACTATGCATGCAGCAGCACGCCACACATATAGCACATAGCACATGGCACATGACATTTGGCATATGGCGCATGCCGCATGCCCCCCACATCGCACGTGGTACTGCACTGCACACTGGGACGACACACACACACCCAGCCACAACACGTTGATGTGCCCACCAGATGCGCGTTGAGAGCCGCCACCAGCGCGGGCAGCACGGTTTCAGGCGGCCCCACCCTCAAGACCAGCTCCGACCCCACCAAGTGCAGGGGCCGGCTCACATCTGCCACGCTCTCTAACAGGAAGCGCGCTCGGTGGGCTGGTGGGGGGTGCAAGGGAGAAGCAAAGAGAAGGAAACTCTCACAACCAGCTCCAGCCCCACCACGTGCAGGAGGCGCGCGCTAGGTGGGTTAGTGGAGGGCTGCAGGGCGCCGCCTCACACCCGCCACGCTCTCCAGCAGGAAGCGGGCGTGATGAGCTGGTGGTGGGGCGTAGGGGGCAAACCAAGAAAAGGGAATTCTCACGAGCAGCTCTGATTCCATCCCCTGCAGGGCGCCGCCTCACACCCGCCACGCTCTCCAGCAGGAAGCGGGCGTGATGAGCTGGTGGTGGGGCGTAGGGGGCAAACCAAGAAAAGGGAATTCTCACGAGCAGCTCTGATTCCATCCCCTGCAGGGCGCCGCCTCACATCCGCCACGCTCTCCAGCAGGAAGCGGGAATGGTGGGGGGGATATGGGGAGATGGAGGACGGGGAAGGCGGGGGCAGGGGGCGAAAGGAAAGGAGGAATGGGGAGGCGCGAGGGTGGGGTGGAGCGGAAGTGGGGATGACAGATCACCCCCCCGAGTACTTATATGGGCTGTGTGCCAGGGGATCACGTCTGGCCGTGCCAGGGGATCACGTCTGGCCGTGCCAGGGGATCACGTCTGGCCGTGCCAGAGGATCTCGTGTGGCCGTGCTCCAAACGTATGATCCACCAGCGGAGGTTCGTCAGCCACCTCCGCTTTCCACCAACAGCGAATACACCGCTTTTGCGTTAAGCGCGCACCTGCCATTTTCGGGAAGCCGAAGTGGTGCGTGGTGGAGAAGCAGCGCGGGTCGAAGCAGTACACGGGCACCGCGATCGCCGCCGCCTGCCACGCGCGCAGCAGCGCCTCGTTGTCGTGCACGCGCAGATCGCTGCGCAGCCACACAATCGCGATCCCCTCGCCGCGACCCTTTGCGTCCGCCGCCGCCGCCATCCCCGCCGCAGATTCCGCCGAGGTACGATCTGATTCCTGATTTGTGCTATTCGTGCTGCTACTGGTAGCTGGGGATGAGCTGGAAGTTGCTGCGAAGGTGCTGACTGCGCGTGACGTGGACTGGGTGCCTCTACGAGCGGGATTTTCGGGGAGGAGGTTCGATGCGATTCGTCGGGACGTGACGCGAGGCGCTAAAGCTGCAACCTTGAGAATGCCGACCGTTACTATCTGTAACCGTTTTGGCGTATCAGCTGTGACTAGCGGCACTTCACGTGGACTGCGTGTATAAAGCAGTCGACGTGGCGATCGACTGGGCAGCGATCGGCTTCCGTTATTCCCGGAAATGCGAGCGGAATGCGAGGAACTGTGCAGCGTGGCGTAGACAGCGGACGTGACGGCGGCGAGTGCGGGAGGGAGAGGTCGACAAGGCGGTGGGACTCGAAGCGGGATAAAACTCATGGTGTTGCTAAAGTTACTTCACGGAACAAGCTCGCCGTCATTCCCGGGTTCCAAATGGAGCAGTTCAGGTGGAGCTCACGAGCAGCCTGTGCGAGGCGAATGCTTTCCGTAGCGCGCGTGGTGCGAGTTGAAGCAGCGCACGCGGAGAGAGGTGACGTGGGGGTTGCGTGTGATGACTGCCATGCCATGCCTTGCCAAAGCCTTGGGTGACCATTTGACTCGACTGTAAAGAAAGTCTTGGACGGAATGTTGCAAGGAATGCAAGAGCTTCATTTGGCAGCGGGACTCGTGGCGTGAAATTGGCCACGCCAGGAGGCAAGCAGCGTGGCGCCATGGATGTCACTGGATTCGGAAACACAGGGAACTGGAGAAACACAAGAATTGCGTTCCCGCACAACCTTGGTCCTATTACAATACTAGTCGTATTAATTACCACAACGTATTATAACAAAATTATTACAAACTGGTAACATTATTTCGTTCGAAAAACATTTTTTTAAAATATTAAAGCCAACTGATAAACAGGCTTCGCGCAATGTGAGTTCCAGGCAATAACGAGGCAGCCATGGTGGCGAGCTCGAGGTTGTAAGACATAAATGAAGGAGAAAGGTAATGAAGAAAGAAAGGGAGAAGGAAAGTGAAACTTCCAAAGAGAACCCAAATGCAACACACATAAAAACCCCCTCAAGATACTCAATCAAATCGCCCAATCAAGACACCCCATCAAGACATCCCATCCCACACCCCATTTCACCCCCCCCAATCACAACAGCGTATCCACCATGTACGGGGCCTCCACCTAGAGAGCCCCGCCTTCCACATCGACATCGTCCCTCTCCCGGTCCACCAAATCTACGTAAATCCCCCCCATGGAAGACGCCGCTCGAAGCAGGATGACACGGGCTTGCGCACGTTGTAACGCCACCCCGATGAGCGCCTTCAGTGACCCTAAAAGATAAGCCGAAAACACAGTGTCGTCCTCCCGACAAGCCCCCCGCGATACAGCTAGCCCCACGTGCGCATCCCCCTGCTGACAAAGCCACCGCCGAAAACGACCGCCGAGACACCCCCACGTCTCTACTATCAGAGGGGTGAACTGCACGCCCCGGTTGCGTGCAAGCAGAGGCGCGTAATCACTCGTTTTGCGACGCTCCCACTCTCTTGCCGCCACACCTATGGATCGCCCGCACTGTCCTAGCAGAGATGGAGACAGCGATAGCGGGTCCGCGACGCTGATCTCTAGGGCGTGAGCCTCTCCAGCCATTGGTCGTCGCACCGCCACATCAACCCGCTTCCCCTGCAGCACCACACTATCCTCCATTGTCACCACCCCCCTCGACGCCTTAGAGATCTTCGCCACCGCAAACTTCACCTCATCATGCACCCGAGATGGACCATGCTGGTGCTTGCATCTCAGGGCATGATGCGGGTCTGCCGGGTCAACATACGCTGTGCCACAAACACACCTCCCCGCCACCTGCAGCTGCTGAATTGGGAGCCCGAGCCGTATAGCAGCAGCAATGCCCCACTCAGCCGCAGTGAATGTGAGATCTGAGTGAGCCGGAACCGCCGAAACCCATGCACCCGCCCCCGGGCCCTGAAGGGATGTGAAACGGGCCAAGGTAGCATCGTCACGAGCCAAGCGGCGCAGTGCCTGGAGCTCCTCTACAGCTAACTGCCGCTGCCGCGCCTGGAAAAGCCGAACAGGAGGGGCCGCTACACACAGAGGTAAGCCCGGTATCTCCTGGCGGATAGTCGCTGGCAGCTGCTCAAGAGCCTTGACAAACCACGGGTCGAGAAACTCTGCCCCTGTCGAAGTGGTGAGGTACTCTGCAAACATCGCCTCCTCGCCCGCCACCCCTAACTGTGCAATGTCACGCGCGGCCTGCGCCCACCCACAAACATAGGACAGTGGGCTCAAAGAGGCCGCCGCCCGGATCCCGAACCCTCCGAGTCGCACAGGGAGATGCAGCTGCATGCGTGCGCGCCTAGACCGGTCGGGGTCCTGCTCCCAAGTGCCAGGCGGGAAAAGCTGCTCAAAGTAATCCTCCAAACAGCTGTCCCAATCCCTAAAAGCCTCAACCACCTCCGGACGCGGCGGCATAGTCTGGGCGAGGTACATCGGCCGCGCTGAAACTGCAATGGCGAGGAGGTGTGAAGCCATCTGGGGGTGGTCGAGCAAGGGGAGCCATGGCAGTGGCGCCTGCAACTGTCGAAGCCGCTCCCGTAGCCGGACCACCTCCCAATCCTCCTCCCCAATAGGCACGCCCACCACAGTAAGACCCTCCTCCACCCGCTGCATCCCCAATGGCAGTGCCTGCTCCACATCCCTGCCCTCGCGCTCCCAAAACCGGCACTTGTGCGCCTGCACCTCCAGCCCCACCCACTCCAACCGCTCCCGCAGCACCCCAAAAGCCTCCAGAATCCTAGCCGCTGGCCCCAAAATATAGGTATCGTCTGCATAGCTAAGGAAAAGCAGGTCCCCGAATTCCCTAGTAACCGGCTCCATCACCTGCTGCTGCGTGAACGCGAATAGAAAAGGGCCGAGCGGGTCCCCCTGCCTAGATCCCCGTGCCGACTCGAGGCTCTGTACGAAAGGGCCTGCTCGGAGGTACAGGTCGCTAGGTGTCCCATAGAAAACACGCAAGAATGGGATCATCCCTGAGAAAGGCGACTCCCGCAGCCCGTCGAACATCGCATGACGGTGAAACGAATTGAAGACGTTTGCGACGTCTATCTGTAGCGCACACCAGTCGGGGTGAGTGGCTAGCGCTGACCGGAAAGAATGAGTGAGAATCTCCGCCCCGATCCTGGTGCCCGCTCCTAGCTGGTTGCACGGCAGGAAGTAGGAAACCATCGCCGGGCGGAGCGAGATGCAGAGAGCTCGAGCAAGGATACGAGGAAGCACTTCCCCGATCGCCACCGGCCGGACGTCGCCGTTAGGCTTGGAAAGCCCGACTAGGTTGGATGCGGCGAGCCACGGCCGAGCCCGCTCGGGGACCTGTCCCGCCACCCATTGGTTGAACACTTCCAACAGGTGGGAAAGGCAGGAAGGTTCAGTGAGGAAGGTGTCGCGCAGATGCTCTGTGACCCACCCCGATGGCCCTGCTGCTGAAGCTCGAGCGGTTGTATGGATAGCTCTGGCCAGGATGTCGGTCGTGAGTGAAGGCCGCTGAGCAGAATCGACGATGAAATCGCGGACCCACTGTGGTACCTCGCCAGTGCTAGCCGGGTGCTTCTCTCGCAGTGACTGCACCATGGCCTCAGACGGTCGAGCCAACTCCCCTGCTGTAAGGCATGCCAATCCACGGCTCCACTCCCCCACTTTGCACCGAGATCGGCACCGTGACAGGCGGATGGCATCCGGGTCCTGGTCAGAGCAAGTGTAGGAAAGTGGGCGAACTGCTGGCCGCGCCGCCACCATGGCATAGTCGAACAGCTCCCGCCACCTCCCCTCCCAGAACGCACCCAGCCGCTCTGTGATCAGCGCCTTCTGACCTATGCCTGGCTTGGGAGGCACGGCTAGGATGAGGCGCGGAAACGCCAAGAGTAGGAGGGTAGCGGCTTCATCTCCCGGTTGGCTCTTCAAGCGCTTTAGGATGCAACAGAGCGCGTCTAAGACCCCCGACCTGGCCCGCTGTGGGATCCGGCGCACTGTCCTCCCTCCAACCGCCTCCACACTGAAAAATGTTTCCCAAACGTTTGTTTTCTGGTTGTTTTAATTACCCATTTTTTAGCGTTGTATTTCAGCCCTAACTAGCCCTCAACAGAAACATCACAGTGTCTATTGCAAATGTTGGTGAATAGAACGCTTATATCACTAATGAAGGAACACATGGGCGAATTTACACATCACACTCACCATCTAACAGGTCGAATTATCAGTGGGTTGACTTGAGGGACCTCCTGTGACATCCAGAACTCTTTGACCCCATGTCTGTATCAACCTTGGCTACCTGGCACATCCTCCTCCGAACAACCGTCTCTTATCCAGTGGATCCGACGGGACGGGATCACTCTTTCTGAGGCGGAGCAACTTTTGCACTCCCGGTTCGAGTCGAGCCTTTGCGGCGGCAACCTTTCCGCAGCACGAGGCTGCGCGTTTTATAGCTCCGACCTTCCGATTGCGCCGCGCGTCAACCCCTGCCTTCACGGGGCGCGCTACGTCACTCGATGTGACTCGTCATGATGTGACTGGCTGACCCCCACCAGAGCTGTCTTAGCGACGTGACCAGAAGGTTTTTGTCACCGCTGCCCGCCGTATGAAGATTCCTCCATGGGTAATTACATTCTGGGTAACCAACATCGAGCCCGCTGACGTCAAAAGTCACCTACGTGGCTCGATGGTACCCGTCAGATCATGCGCACCCCTTGGTGGTACCCATCTTCCCTCCGTGGTACCCATCTTCCCTGCGTGGTACCCATCAACTGTGCGTGAATTCCCTGACTGGTACCGCAACATTTCAACCGAGCTGTACACCGTACAACAAGGGTTTCAATGCGATTTTCACTATATTATACCAACGTTTTCTGTCTGCAATTGAACATTAATACATTTGAACATTAATACCTTTGAACGTGCCTTACACTGGATAGAGTGCAACCTAGAAAAAATCAACTCCCCTTCTAAATTCCTCACGTTACCTCCGAACCTTTGTAAGCTCACATCACTGAGCGATAGGTAGCGTGAATCTTACGACCATGTTTCTCAGCGCGCAGTTGGTAATCTGAACAAAGTTCATAAGGTTGTATGCAAATAAATTGAGCATGTACCCCCACAGCTAAATAGAAAAGCATAAACAAATAATACGTACATTCGTTGGTTTCTGGAAACAAAACAATACCCATTAATGAAAATCAAATAACCTTAAGTCAATATATATATTACGTGTCAGTTGATCGTTTGTTACACGGATGTTAATTTTTGTGTTTCGGTTGATGCAATGTATCTGTGGTGATTTAAATTATAGCACGTTATAATGTGGATGTTTATGATCCTAAAGAAATCTACACAATAAATGTTTTCCTAAATTTAGCTTTTCTTCTACACTTTATTATAGGTAATGCGCTTGAAAATTTGACCCGATTATGTGGCACTTCGGGCTTCGGACTCTATTGAGCTTGTAAACGTTAAGACAATATAGTGAAAAACGCATTGACACCCTTGTTGTACGGTGTACAGCTCGGTTGAAATGTTGCGGTACCAGTCAGGGAATTCGCGCACAGTTGATGGGTACCACGCAGGGAAGATGGGTACCACGGAGGGAAGATGGGTACCACCAAGGGGTGCGCATGATCTGACGGGTACCATCGAGCCACGTAGGTGACTTTTGACGTCAGCTGGCGTACTTTTCGAGGGGTTGAGGTGATGCGGGTGCGGTGCGTTGCGGTAATAGGTTAGGGAGGGTCAGAACGATTTGTGCGCCTTGCGGGCAGCACCATTATTGCAGGTTGCGGGCAGCACCGAAGGTGAACAAGTATAATTGTGCCTCGCACGAGTTGTGCTGGTTGGTTTCCTTTCCCCCCATTCCCCCTGTCTCTCGCCTTGCTGCTGCATTGCTGATCGCTTTCCTTCACTTCCCTCTTCCTTGCTTTCCCTTGTTCCTTTCTAAATCCCGTCCACTTTTACTCTTGCCTCTTCACATCCGTTACGTCAGCTTGCCAATTGCGTCCGTTCGATCACTTCTTCCTCGTCTTCCTCTCCTGCACGGAACTCCTTGGTGCTTCGTCGCCTTATTTCTCTCTCCAGCTCCACGTCAAGCGTAATTCGGCACCTGACGAGTATTTTAGTTCCTGAGCGTTTCTTTCACGTCGAGCCCGAAAAGGCCAGTCTCCGTTATTATGCCCATCGTAGATTCGCTTCCTGCTATAAGCTTCGTCGATTCGCGTCGTCACCTCGTGCACAGCCGGAATCCGGCGGCTACTAGCAACAGAAGACCTAGTACCATGTCGATGTCGATTTTTACAACTGTTACTACTGCTGCCAATGTCGATGGAGGTGCTGATGCGACCATTCTACTAGGCTGCGCATGCCCGTATAAGCCGCCGCCGGTAGCGGCGCACCCGCCAGAACTCCTTCCCGCGACGGAATCAGACAGCATGACGTCAGCAGCAGATGCGAGCATGACATGTGCGAGTCGCGATACCTTACCGCCGGAAGGGCTGTCGGTACAAGCATCAGCAGCGCCAATCGCCGAGTCCTATTGTGTCGCAGCGCCTGAAAAACGGGCGACAGGAGCGGCAGCAAGCTGTTTCCACTCGTCAGCTGCAGCTGCGACAGCTGCGAAGTCGCCAGGTCATCGTCGCCAGCATCGCGCGGTAGCCTTCGTTCAAGACTGCCTTTGGCAATCGTTACAGGTACTGTAGCAACCCGACGAATCTGTTCCGGAATGCAATCTTCTTCGTGCGAGCATCCCGCTCGACCGAGAGCCCTCCCGCTCCCTGCGCTCTCTTCTTTCCCGCACGCCCGCAATTTGCGCGCATTCCCCGCTTCCCACGTTCCCCCCCAATTCCCTCGACCCACCCCTATCCTCTTCTTCCCCCCCTCTCCGCCACCCTCTGACCCGCCTCTGCCCGCACGCATTCTCTCGTGTTCTTAGCAGACGTGTTTGGAGCTCTGCTGGATCGCTTTGGTCATCGCCGTCTTCATTATAGGCTGCACGCTCTCGCGCCGTATCGAATCCATGCGCGCTTCTTGTAACGGGGCTGGAGTACAACTCGTCTTCAGCGAGGTGAGCCGAGGAGAAGGCGAATCCGCCGCGCATCCCGCCGTTCAATACGCTGAGCCTCGCACCGTGATTCTCGGACCCCGTTCACCAAACGAGCTGGAAGGTCATTCGCCGCCATCATCGGATGGTAGTTTAGGTAAGACGCTTTCTGGTCCACCCCGCGCGCAGTGCTTTTCACCCCTGCTTTCCCTTGTCGTTTACTAATGTCATATCTGCTGAAAGGCCTAGACATTCCCAGAATCCCAGGTTTCCCCTGCCTAGTAACCCGCTGCTTACAACCTGCCAGACCACCACCTTTTTCAATAATTTGCTCCTCTCTGAAAGCTTCCCCTTCCCTTTTCCACCAACTCCCTTCTCTCCCGCACCTTTTTTCCTAACCCCCTCCGCCGTGCGACAGAGCCATCACCTGGGCTTGGTGTGATACTCGCACGTGACTGGACTCAGGGCGCCTTGCGCAGCTGCAGCATACGCAACCTCAGCCACGGCAACAGTAGCAGCAGTCCCGGGCCTAGTGTGTCGGATAATAAACGCGATATTCCCGAAGAAACTTCTCCGCCCATGGCAATCGCCGCGTCTGCGCCAGGAGTTTCGCAGACAGGCTGCAACAGGCGTGACCACCGAAACCAGCACGAAGAGGAGGATGCTAACGCCAGCTTGTTGGATGAAGGGATGACCTGGCTCCCACACACCTTGGATACCGAGGTGGGTTCTTGAGGTTTCGCGGTCTCCAGACAAAACTGGTTATAGGGATTCTTTAGGGAGGTAACAGGACAGGGGATGAAAATGTTCATACGGTAATAAACAAACGTGACGGATTCATTGGTATCAAATAGGTTTAAACTTGTGATTTGTTGTGCGTCCCTTCCCTTTTCTACACACCCAACCAGGCATCGCACCATCAACAGGAAGGAACATTAGCATCAGCCACAAGGCGTCTGCTGATGATTGCAGAAGAGGCGACGGGGACAGAGGATCTATATTCCGGAGAGGAGAGCTTAAGAGGGCTAACGGAATATTCTCTTAGAGAGGAAAGGGGGAGCAGAAGTCGGGATGTTGCTGTGTATGTAATGTATTATGTGTACTTATCATGCACCAGAAAAGGTGGATCTAGTAACATTATACGTATTATTCCGTAGAGTGTCAACTTTGATGCTTGTGCAGACTTTAAGACAAACGGTTCATCTTCAAAGAGAAAAACAGTACCTCCAGATCAGGCCACCCGATTGGTCAGAAGCAGTTCAATCATCCAATCACCGTAGCCCAGTTACCCAACCTTTGCTCTCTCCCCGCCGCAACCCCCGCCAGCGCGGATTGCAGCTCAGCCGTCAAAACACCACCTTATTCAAAGTGACAATCTCTAGGTGCTTCATAAAAGAGGCATCCACCAGACAATCCCTAGGCGCTTCCTTGTGTTTTATCGCGCGGGTCTGTTACAGAGCTCGTGCGCTGACCTGACAGCTGACAAAGCTGATCAGTGAACAAAAAGGCGAAGCGATTCCTAGCACGAGGGCACTGACGGATACTGACTGATAACAAAAGCACTTGTCTAGTCTCGTCCGTGCATGGTCTCGCTGATTGCACCCCTCGTTTTCAATAAAGGACAGGCATTCAACCCCTGCACTGCACTGGCATAGGTTCCTCGCTCCAGATTCGCCGGTGGTCCTGTTCAGGCTGTAACTCCCTGGTGCATCTCCACTGTCCAATCCATCCGCCATGGCTCTCGCGACGACGTCCGTAGTGACCCGGACTGTCGCTCTTTCAGGTCAGCCATGTGATCATGTTTCGTTCCGCTCGTGCGTATGAATGCACGTAGATGATCTCTGGTCATCGTCCAATGACGCATCCACGTTACTGTCGGTTCGCCCCATACGCATGAGAAAAACATCGGGCGATAGTGGTGACTCTACTGCTGGTGTTGTGCTGAATATTAGCTGGGACTGTCGGTTCGCCCCAGCCGCATTTTGAGTCGCTTATGAAATGCAGATAGGTACTGCGAGCATTAGCTAAAAACTTCCAGCATATTCAAGGCCTCCTCGTGAGTTCATGCAAGACCAGAGATGGGCTAGATATCTCCATCCCCTCATTGCATCAACCCCTCATCAAGCGTCCCACTCTCTCCTTCGTTCCCTCCACCCAATCGCAGGACCTTCCTCCCTGGTTCCAGCATCGTCGCGCCTAACTCAGTCAAGCGCTTCAAACGTGTCTCGTAGAGCCTGCAGAAAATTCTCTAAGATCCATAAACCGGCACCGGCCGTTTTCCGCGAGTCAATCTCAGCCCCTCCCCTGGCCGCCGACTGCCTCCCCCGCTCTAGGCCTCTTGCTGCTTCCACCACTGCCAAGGCTGCTGCCTCAGCTGTTGCCGAGCCTGCGCAGGAGCTTCGGGGTGCTGGGCCAGTGGTGGTGGTTGATAATTATGACAGCTTCACTTACAACCTTTGCCAGGTAATCTCCCTCTCCCGCTGCCAGGTCATCGTCCTTCTTCTTGGTAAATTAATAGGCAACCTGGGATGTTCCCTACTTTCGATTTTCCTCCAAGGAGTCGCATCTTCTCCTTCTCACTGGTGGTTGTGGTTATTGCTTGCCTGTGCTGTGAGCAGTACCTGGGTGACCTGGGGTGCGAGCACGTGGTGTACCGTAACGATGACATCACCATTGACGACCTGCAGAAGTGAGATCATATGGAGACATGGACCTTAAATTATGAATGCAGAGCAGACAACCAGCTAGCCTTCCAGCTCAAGAAAACTAGTATTTATCTGCGTATTCGAGTATGCTCGGCCATTTTTTATCGTTCGCCCAATCCTTGCTTGTACGCTTTTCCATTTCCCATCTTTGTTGCTTGCCCACTCCCCTCCCTCGCTGTTTTTCCATATTTTGTTTTCTCCAGAATGGACCCCAGGGGGGTGCTCATCTCTCCAGGCCCTGGTACGTTACCTCAAACCCTGCTGCTGTTGAGAGTTCTCCAAAGTCAAATGAATTTATCATGACATCTTCGTGCTGTTGCTTCTGTGTCATCTTTTACTTCAAAATTGTGGCTTCATTTCCAGCCGCAGTCCAATCTCAGCGATTGCGCTTGCGTTTCCAGTAGATTCTGCTCCTCACACAATCCCTGCGTATACTGCAACCACACATTGCACAGCATATCCCAAAGTTGTGCTAATGATATGCTTGATCTTTTTCCAACTTATCTCGGTGAATCACGCCCCCCGTTTGAAACACATAGCCCCACTTTCCCCATGGCACCCCTTTCCAACCGCCAGGCATGCCAACGACTTGTGCAATGCACTGGGCGTGCGTGGTGCAGTAGTGAGAGCTCAGCTCAGCTCACTGGTGTGCCGTACTCTTTGCATCCATCCCCAGTCAACTCCCCCAGGCACGCCACATGACTCGGGCATATCGCTGGACGTGGTGCGGCGCCTGCGGCCATCTGCTGTGCTCCCGGTCATACCATCATCTTCCCCACTCCCCTCCCCCCTTTCCCACTCTCTCCCCCTTTCCTCCCCGTGCCTCACTCAACCCACCATCAGGCACGCCAGACGACTCGGGCATATCGCTGGACGTGGTGCGGCGCCTGGGGCCGACCGTGCCCCTCTTTGGCGTATGCATGGGGCTGCAGTGCATGGGGCAGGCATATGGCGGTGCGTTGCGTTGCGTTGGCTGTGTGGGTTGTTTGCACGGGGCAGGCTTATGAGTTTGAGTTCTCTGTTTTGAGACGTCTCAAAACTCTGTGTGGGTTTTGACACGTCTGAAACCTCTGTGCTGGTTGTTTGGCACGGGGCAGGCTTATAAGGTCGAGTGCTCTGTCTGTATGGTGTTGACTGTGGAGTTGGCGGTTGTTGAGTGTATGGGGTTGCACTGCAGTGCGTCAGGAAGAGAGCTTATGATTTCAGCTCAATTTATAAACCCTGAACCCTGATCCAGCCCCTCCCATCAATTCTGAACCCTTAGTAAACTTTCATCCTCTCAGTTAGGTGCGCTAAACCCTCAACAACAGAACTTCAACTGTACACCAGGTTAACCCTGAACCATGAATGCTTGGCAGGGCACATGGTGTGGGCGGCAGGGGGCGTGATGCACAGCAAGGCATCCGCTGTGGTGCATTGCATTGCATTCCATGGCGGAGAGTGACTTCAACCTCACCCTAACCGTGTGAACCCTGAAACGTGATTGCATGGCAGGGCGCATAGTGCGGGCTCCAGGGGGCGTGATGCATGGCAAGACGTCACCTGTGCTGCACTCCATGGCAGAAAGTGACTTGGGGCTGCTGGCTGGACTGCCAAGGTGGGTGTGTGTGACGGGGGGGACTGGTGATCCCGTGGCAGGGTGCATACAACGGGCCGGGGGGAGTGATGCATGGCAAGACGTCACCTGTGCTGCACTCCATGGCAGAAAGTGACTCGGGGCTGCTGGCTGGACTGCCAAGGTGGGTGCACGTGAGGAGAAGGGGGAGGGGGAAGGGCAGCTGGCAAGACTGCCAAGGTGGGCGTAAGGGGGTGTAAGTTACATAGGTGTTTTATTGCGCATTGCTCATGTCAGCCGGCTTAAGTCCACCACAACCCTTTGGATTCGAGGCAACCCAAATCGACATCTCAACCATTCCCTCCCCAACCCTCTCTGCTTCCCGCAACTCCCTTTTTTTCCGCCATCAACCCCTTCACAAAGAGCTGGCGTGCCTGGTAACTGGCAAGGGTTCGATTCCTTAGGAGAAGTTCGAAATGACCGCTCATCCTTTTCAACACCTTCTGATATGTCTTTTTGAGACGTCTGAAAGAACAGAATAACTGCTCCTCCTTTCGACCCCAAGACTCCCCCCTTCCCCTCCACCACCAAACCCTTCACCGCTTGCCGATACCACAACCTGGTGATTGTCAAGGACACATTTCCCGAGGACGAGCTGGAGGTGACTGCGTGCCCTTTTCACCACCTTCGCGATTTGCGCCCCACATCCCCCCCCCTTTCCTCCACCAGCCCCTTCACTGCGTGTCGGTACCACAGCCTGGTGATTGAAAAAGACACATTCCCCGAGGACGAGCTGGGGGTGACTTTTTGTCTTTTTCACCACCCTCTTGATTTGCACCCCACAATCCCCTCCCTCCCTTGTGTCCCCAGCCCCTTCACGGCGTGTCGGTACCACAGCCTGGTGATTGAAAAGGAGACATTCCCCGAGGACGAGCTGGAGGTGACTGCGTGGACAGAGGATGGGCTCGTCATGGCCGTGCGACACAAGAAGTACACCCACGTAGAGGTGAGTGGGCTTGTGATTGGTGAGAGGGCTTGTGATTGGTGAGAGGGCTTGTGATTGGTGAGAGGGCTTGTGATTGGTGAGTAGGCTAGTGATTCAATGGTTGTAAGTATGTTAAAGTTAACAGCTCAGCTGACGTGAAGATGGGCTTGTCATGGCTGTGTGGCATGTGAAGTACACGCCTTGCCCACCTTGTCCCCACATAATTTGCTTTGCCCCCTCCCGTCCCTTCCTCTCTCACTTATTTGTTGTCTCTCCCTTCTCTCCCTCCCTCACCTGTCCCCTGCCTCTCACCCCTCTCCCTCCTCTCCCTCCTCTCCCTCTCCACACACCAGGGGGTGCAGTTCCACCCAGAGAGCATCATCACAAGCAATGGCAAGGAAATAGTGGCCAACTTTCTCAAGACCATGGATCGCTACTGGGCACAGTAGGACATATTAGTGTAGGTGTCTTAGGAACAGAATTTTGCAAACAGTGCAGCATCAGCTTCAGGAATGCTGCACTTGATGCACTGGGGAAAGCAGTACAAGCACACACCCATCTTATGTATCCGTAACTAAATAGGGAGGAAACTTTCACGTTTTGACGAGATTTCGTTACCTCGATATTGTATGGCTGAACGCGACTCGGCAGGGTGAGTTGGGTTGGGTGTCGCCCACACGCCGTTTCTGTTGCAATGCAATGCAACTGTGCATCTGCTGATTGCAACGCGCTTCCCCTCCCTCCTCTCCACACCACACCACACCTCCCTCTTCCCCCTCCTTCCTCCTCACAAATTTGGATCGAAGTGGATTGTAACATTGCAGATGTTACACTTCAGACTTCCTTCCTGGGTTTGTATTTTGATTCTGATTCTGGTAATTGGAAATTCCCATGGCTGTGCAAGTTCACGCGCCGCACTCACTCCACAATCGAGTTTCCACACGGAACGGACAGGCGACGCTGCTGCGGCGAAGAGCAGAGTTTGATGGCTGTCCTGCTGCTCCAGTTCCCGTAATCCCTCGATCGTTTGGAACCATTTTGTCCTCAGACGTTCGTCTGTCGCTCGTAATACGAGTAGGACCGAGGCAGGCGCATGTCGATCAATGGACGAGCATCGGTTCTTTTTGTTTCCGTCGATTCATTAACGAAATCTCAGCAATCGGTACAAGCGAATCAGTTCCTATTCAATAGTGACCGCCATGGGCCTTATTACGTTTCTTTTCGGAGAGGACGCCGATGGGTTGGGAGCAGCCATTACCCGCTGGACCATCGAGGTTCGTCTCGTCTCTGTCCAATCCATAGAGGCTGAGGCGATTTGTTTTTTCTCCCGAAATTCGCCTCATTATTGTCTCATCGAGAATTATCGTTGTTCGCCTATCGCGTGAAAGCATGTCCCCAACATCGATCGGCGTTGTGAGCCCTCTTTTTCTCCGTCGCCGCTCTTTTACCCTCGGGAATACCGTATCCGCTTCCCTCGCGTGTAGACACCATGCTGCAGCTTGTAACAGGAATCCGACTGCTTGTACTCATTCTCTGCGGACCTTGAAGCTGATTTTACGCCTCCATGCCATCGCCTTTTGATTTGCAGTTCTTCTCGTTTTGGTGTCTTCACTCTCTTATTATTACCCACCCACTTGCTCAAACTGCTGCTCTCAAGGATTTCGAGGAGCGGTATGAGCAGGGCCTACGTGGCAGCATCACTGCCACGAATGATTCTTCCTCCACGTCCGACGTGGCAGCTTCAACGACTGTGGACAGCGCCGTTCCTACAGATCGAAACCCTCAAGGCTCCAGTCAGCAAGCCGCATCGCAGGGGCCGCAGGTCTGTCAACTCAGCACGTTAAAGACACACTCAAAGAAGAAAGAAACAGAAACCCTCTTAGTAATTTCAATACAGCTAGTAGCAAGGAGCATCCCGGCGGTGGCCGCAGGTCGGTCAGCTCAGTACGCTGAAGACACTTATAAGAATAAAAGAAACAGAAAAATAGAAAACCTTCTAGTAATTTCAATACAGCTGGCAGCAAGCAGCATTCCAGGGGCCGCAGGTCTGTCAGCTCAGTACACTGAATACACATTAAAGAAACAACAAATCAGAGTAGTTTAATTGCAGCTGGCAACAAGGAGGCTCGCAGCGGAGGTCAGTCAGTCAAAACGCTGAGGTCATGGTTTTCATGTCCCCGCCTGTCCACATGCGTCTATTCCGGTGACATCATACCAACCGCTCTTTTCCCCTCCCCCTTTTTCCCCTCCCCCAGAATCCATCCCTCAGAAAGGAGTCCCCCCAGCCCCGCCCCGCCCTCTGCCAATGTTTCCCACGGTGGGTCTGTGAGCGGTGGCAGAGGCGGTGGGGCGAGACATGCCTTACATGCCTTGCTGTCCCTCACACTCCACCGCAGTCTGACTCACTCACTTCAAGAGAAGCCTCTGTGTGCAGTGCAAGGCTCTGCCATTGTCCACCACGGTGGATCTGCGAGCGCTGGCTGGCAGAGGCGGTGGGGCGAGACATCACACTCACTCGCGCCTTTCCCGTCCAAACCCCCTTGCATGCGTTACATGCCTTGCTGTCCCCCCACACTCCACCGCTCGCCTCAAGAGAGGCCTCTGTGCGCAAGGCCCTGCCCATGCTCCGCACGGTGGAGCTGAGGGAGCTGGCGGAGGCGGCGTGGCGGGACATCACACTGGCTCATCCCATCCCCCCTCCAACGCCTCCGTGCATGCCTTCTTGTCCCCTTACACTCCACCGCAGTCCGTCTCACACTCACTCCTTACAAGAGAGGCCTCTGTGCGCAAGGCCCTGCCCATGTTCCCCACGGTGGAGCTGAGGGAGCTGGCGGAGGCCGTGGGGGGGAACATCACACTTCTTCCTTTCCTAGTCTCCCTCCCTCCCCCCCCAATGCATGCCTTGTGCCCTCCACACTCCACAGCAGTCCCACTCACTCGTCTTAAGGGAATCGGCTGCGCGCAAGGCCCTGCCCATGTATCCAACAGTGGAGCTGAGGGAGCTGGCAGAGGCGGTGGGGCGGGACATCATGCGCGGCAATCCCGAGGTGACGTGGAGCAGCGTGAAGGGGCTGGGCGGCGCCAAGCAGCTGCTCCAGGAGGCCGTGGTGATGCCCATCAAGTACCCCCAGTGAGTGGGGGGGGTGGTGGTGGTGCTGTGTTATGTTGTGTGGAGATGTGTCTGTGTGTGTTGCCCCTGTGCGTCGGTGTGGCTGCATGCACGGCGCCAAGCAGCTGCTCCAGGAGGCCGTGGTCATGCCCATCAAGTACCCCCAGTGAGTTGTATTGGCTGCTGTGCGGTGCGGTGCGGTGCGGTGCGGTGCGGTGCGGTGCGGTGCGGTGCGGTGCGGTGCGGTGCTGTGCGGTGATGTGTTGCGCCTGGGAGTTGAAGGGGCTGGGCGCCGCCAAGCAGCTGCTCAAGGAGGCCGTGGTCATGCCCATCAAGTACCCGCAGTGAGACGCTATGGCTGTTGTGTTGTGTTGTGTTGTGCTGTGTTGTGTCTGTATGTGTTGCGCCTGTGAGTCGGTGTGGTTGCATTGCATGCACGGTGGCAAGCAGCTGCTCAAGGAGGCCGTGGGGAGATGCCCATCAAGTACCCACAGTGAGTTTCACTGGCTGCTGTGTGCTCTGTTGTGTTGAGTTGTGTGTGTGTGCGTGTGTGCGTGTGTTTGCGTGTGTGTGCATGTGTGTGTGTGTGCGTGTTTGTGTGTGTGTGTGTGTGTGTGTGTGTGTTGTGCCTGTGAGTGTGTGTGTGTGTTGTGCCTGTGAGTGTGTGTGTGTGTTGTGCCTGTGAGTGTGTGTGTGTGTTGTGCCTGTGAGTGTGTGTGTGTGTTGTGCCTGTGAGTGTGTGTGTGTGTTGTGCCTGTGAGTGTGTGTGTGTGTTGTGCCTGTGAGTGTGTGTGTGTGTTGTGCCTGTGAGTGTGTGTGTGTGTTGTGCCTGTGAGTGTGTGTGTGTGTTGTGCCTGTGAGTGTGTGTGTGTGTTGTGCCTGTGAGTGTGTGTGTGTGTTGTGCCTGTGAGTGTGTGTGTGTGTTGTGCCTGTGAGTGTGTGTGTGTGTTGTGCCTGTGAGTGTGTGTGTGTGTTGTGCCTGTGAGTGTGTGTGTGTGTTGTGCCTGTGAGTGTGTGTGTGTGTTGTGCCTGTGAGTGTGTGTGTGTGTTGTGCCTGTGAGTGTGTGTGTGTGTTGTGCCTGTGAGTGTGTGTGTGTGTTGTGCCTGTGAGTGTGTGTGTGTGTTGTGCCTGTGAGTGTGTGTGTGTGTTGTGCCTGTGAGTGTGTGTGTGTGTTGTGCCTGTGAGTGTGTGTGTGTGTTGTGCCTGTGAGTGTGTGTGTGTGTTGTGCCTGTGAGTGTGTGTGTGTGTTGTGCCTGTGAGTGTGTGTGTGTGTTGTGCCTGTGAGTGTGTGTGTGTGTTGTGCCTGTGAGTGTGTGTGTGTGTTGTGCCTGTGAGTGTGTGTGTGTGTTGTGCCTGTGAGTGTGTGTGTGTGTTGTGCCTGTGAGTGTGTGTGTGTGTTGTGCCTGTGAGTGTGTGTGTGTGTTGTGCCTGTGAGTGTGTGTGTGTGTTGTGCCTGTGAGTGTGTGTGTGTGTTGTGCCTGTGAGTGTGTGTGTGTGTTGTGCCTGTGAGTGTGTGTGTGTGTTGTGCCTGTGAGTGTGTGTGTGTGTTGTGCCTGTGAGTGTGTGTGTGTGTTGTGCCTGTGAGTGTGTGTGTGTGTTGTGCCTGTGAGTGTGTGTGTGTGTTGTGCCTGTGAGTGTGTGTGTGTGTTGTGCCTGTGAGTGTGTGTGTGTGTTGTGCCTGTGAGTGTGTGTGTGTGTTGTGCCTGTGAGTGTGTGTGTGTGTTGTGCCTGTGAGTGTGTGTGTGTGTTGTGCCTGTGAGTGTGTGTGTGTGTTGTGCCTGTGAGTGTGTGTGTGTGTTGTGCCTGTGAGTGTGTGTGTGTGTTGTGCCTGTGAGTGTGTGTGTGTGTTGTGCCTGTGAGTGTGTGTGTGTGTTGTGCCTGTGAGTGTGTGTGTGTGTTGTGCCTATGAGTGTGTGTGTGTGTTGTGCCTGTGAGTGTGTGTGTGTGTTGTGCCTATGAGTGTGTGTGTGTGTGTTGTGCCTGTGAGTGTGTGTGTGTGTGTTGTGCCTGTGAGTGTGTGTGTGTGTGTTGTGCCTGTGAGTGTGTGTGTGTGTGTTGTGCCTGTGAGTGTGTGTGTGTGTGTTGTGCCTGTGAGTGTGTGTGTGTGTGTTGTGCCTGTGAGTGTGTGTGTGTGTGTTGTGCCTGTGAGTGTGTGTGTGTGTGTTGTGCCTGTGAGTGTGTGTGTGTGTGTTGTGCCTGTGAGTGTGTGTGTGTGTGTTGTGCCTGTGAGTGTGTGTGTGTGTGTTGTGCCTGTGAGTGTGTGTGTGTGTGTTGTGCCTGTGAGTGTGTGTGTGTGTGTTGTGCCTGTGAGTGTGTGTGTGTGTGTTGTGCCTGTGAGTGTGTGTGTGTGTGTTGTGCCTGTGAGTGTGTGTGTGTGTTGTGCCTGTGAGTGTGTGCGTGTGTGTTGTGCCTGTGAGTGTGTGTGTGTGTGTTGTGCCTGTGAGTGTGTGTGTGTGTGTTGTGCCTGTGAGTGTGTGCGTGTGTGTTGTGCCTGTGAGTGTGTGTGTGTGTGTTGTGCCTGTGAGTGTGTGTGTGTGTGTTGTGCCTGTGAGTGTGTGTGTGTGTGTTGTGCCTGTGAGTGTGTGTGTGTGTGTTGTGCCTGTGAGTGTGTGTGTGTGTGTTGTGCCTGTGAGTGTGTGTGTGTGTGTTGTGCCTGTGAGTGTGTGTGTGTGTGTTGTGCCTGTGAGTGTGTGTGTGTGTGTTGTGCCTGTGAGTGTGTGTGTGTGTGTTGTGCCTGTGAGTGTGTGTGTGTGTGTTGTGCCTGTGAGTGTGTGTGTGTGTGTTGTGCCTGTGAGTGTGTGTGTGTGTGTTGTGCCTGTGAGTGTGTGTGTGTGTGTTGTGCCTGTGAGTGTGTGTGTGTGTGTTGTGCCTGTGAGTGTGTGTGTGTGTGTTGTGCCTGTGAGTGTGTGTGTGTGTGTTGTGCCTGTGAGTGTGTGTGTGTGTGTTGTGCCTGTGAGTGTGTGTGTGTGTGTTGTGCCTGTGAGTGTGTGTGTGTGTGTTGTGCCTGTGAGTGTGTGTGTGTGTGTTGTGCCTGTGAGTGTGTGTGTGTGTGTTGTGCCTGTGAGTGTGTGTGTGTGTGTTGTGCCTGTGAGTGTGTGTGTGTGTGTTGTGCCTGTGAGTGTGTGTGTGTGTGTTGTGCCTGTGAGTGTGTGTGTGTGTGTTGTGCCTGTGAGTGTGTGTGTGTGTGTTGTGCCTGTGAGTGTGTGTGTGTGTGTTGTGCCTGTGAGTGTGTGTGTGTGTGTTGTGCCTGTGAGTGTGTGTGTGTGTGTTGTGCCTGTGAGTGTGTGTGTGTGTGTTGTGCCTGTGAGTGTGTGTGTGTGTGTTGTGCCTGTGAGTGTGTGTGTGTGTGTTGTGCCTGTGAGTGTGTGTGTGTGTGTTGTGCCTGTGAGTGTGTGTGTGTGTGTTGTGCCTGTGAGTGTGTGTGTGTGTGTTGTGCCTGTGAGTGTGTGTGTGTGTGTTGTGCCTGTGAGTGTGTGTGTGTGTTGTGCCTGTGAGTGTGTGTGTGTGTTGTGCCTGTGAGTGTGTGTGTGTGTGTTGTGCCTGTGAGTGTGTGTGTGTGTGTTGTGCCTGTGAGTGTGTGTGTGTGTGTTGTGCCTGTGAGTGTGTGTGTGTGTGTTGTGCCTGTGAGTGTGTGTGTGTGTGTTGTGCCTGTGAGTGTGTGTGTGTGTGTTGTGCCTGTGAGTGTGTGTGTGTGTGTTGTGCCTGTGAGTGTGTGTGTGTGTGTTGTGCCTGTGAGTGTGTGTGTGTGTGTTGTGCCTGTGAGTGTGTGTGTGTGTGTTGTGCCTGTGAGTGTGTGTGTGTGTGTTGTGCCTGTGAGTGTGTGTGTGTGTGTTGTGCCTGTGAGTGTGTGTGTGTGTGTTGTGCCTGTGAGTGTGTGTGTGTGTGTTGTGCCTGTGAGTGTGTGTGTGTGTGTTGTGCCTGTGAGTGTGTGTGTGTGTGTTGTGCCTGTGAGTGTGTGTGTGTGTGTTGTGCCTGTGAGTGTGTGTGTGTGTGTTGTGCCTGTGAGTGTGTGTGTGTGTGTTGTGCCTGTGAGTGTGTGTGTGTGTGTTGTGCCTGTGAGTGTGTGTGTGTGTGTTGTGCCTGTGAGTGTGTGTGTGTGTGTTGTGCCTGTGAGTGTGTGTGTGTGTGTGTTGTGCCTGTGAGTGTGTGTGTGTGTGTTGTGCCTGTGAGTGTGTGTGTGTGTGTTGTGCCTGTGAGTGTGTGTGTGTGTGTTGTGCCTGTGAGTGTGTGTGTGTGTGTTGTGCCTGTGAGTGTGTGTGTGTGTGTTGTGCCTGTGAGTGTGTGTGTGTGTGTTGTGCCTGTGAGTGTGTGTGTGTGTGTTGTGCCTGTGAGTGTGTGTGTGTGTGTTGTGCCTGTGAGTGTGTGTGTGTGTGTTGTGCCTGTGAGTGTGTGTGTGTGTGTTGTGCCTGTGAGTGTGTGTGTGTGTGTTGTGCCTGTGAGTGTGTGTGTGTGTGTTGTGCCTGTGAGTGTGTGTGTGTGTGTTGTGCCTGTGAGTGTGTGTGTGTGTGTTGTGCCTGTGAGTGTGTGTGTGTGTGTTGTGCCTGTGAGTGTGTGTGTGTGTGTTGTGCCTGTGAGTGTGTGTGTGTGTGTTGTGCCTGTGAGTGTGTGTGTGTGTGTTGTGCCTGTGAGTGTGTGTGTGTGTGTTGTGCCTGTGAGTGTGTGTGTGTGTGTTGTGCCTGTGAGTGTGTGTGTGTGTGTTGTGCCTGTGAGTGTGTGTGTGTGTGTTGTGCCTGTGAGTGTGTGTGTGTGTGTTGTGCCTGTGAGTGTGTGTGTGTGTGTTGTGCCTGTGAGTGTGTGTGTGTGTGTTGTGCCTGTGAGTGTGTGTGTGTGTGTTGTGCCTGTGAGTGTGTGTGTGTGTGTTGTGCCTGTGAGTGTGTGTGTGTGTGTTGTGCCTGTGAGTGTGTGTGTGTGTGTTGTGCCTGTGAGTGTGTGTGTGTGTGTTGTGCCTGTGAGTGTGTGTGTGTGTGTTGTGCCTGTGAGTGTGTGTGTGTGTGTTGTGCCTGTGAGTGTGTGTGTGTGTGTTGTGCCTGTGAGTGTGTGTGTGTGTGTTGTGCCTGTGAGTGTGTGTGTGTGTGTTGTGCCTGTGAGTGTGTGTGTGTGTGTTGTGCCTGTGAGTGTGTGTGTGTGTGTTGTGCCTGTGAGTGTGTGTGTGTGTGTTGTGCCTGTGAGTGTGTGTGTGTGTGTTGTGCCTGTGAGTGTGTGTGTGTGTGTTGTGCCTGTGAGTGTGTGTGTGTGTGTTGTGCCTGTGAGTGTGTGTGTGTGTGTTGTGCCTGTGAGTGTGTGTGTGTGTGTTGTGCCTGTGAGTGTGTGTGTGTGTGTTGTGCCTGTGAGTGTGTGTGTGTGTGTT